TTTTACAGACAATTCAAATATCAGAAGAGAGGAAATACTGAACAGGAAGGAGCACAGCTATGCTGCTGTCTAGTTTTGTTTGTTTGTTTGTTTAAGACAATGATGACAACAAATTAACAAATTAATCTACATTTCAATATGGCCATATCAAAGTCCTATCTCCAGGCTCAAGGGACATGGGCCATAGTGGCTCTGCCTTGGAAAGCAGGGCACTAACCAGGGTTCAGAAGTGGCTCTGCATGGCCAGAAGAGCTAGTGCAGCAATTTGATGTGCAAAGCAGCAGTAAGGAACCTGTCTTTCCTCTGGCTGCAATTTGAAAACATCTCCCTTCTGCACTGACTCAAAAATGATTTTGAGAAGTTGGAGGTGACACCACAGGGACCCAAGAAAATGGTTACAGGTGAAAATCTAGTAACTATTTTGTTTTGCTGAAAAAAGTTAGTTATGGGAAATTCATTCATGGGCAAAACAAACCAACAAGCCCTTCCAATTCATCCTGCTGGGCAGGGGATGAGGCCCTTACTCAACGCCGGGGATGTTGGCAAAGGGACTGCTGACCAGGAAGGCTCCCATCTTGCTGGGACTGCACAAGCCACCGCCACTCAGACAAACCTGCCTTTATCCAGCCATGTCATTCCACACCCTGGCAGGCAATTAAAATGCAAATTAAAAATGTTAATTAGAGCGGTTTCAGCATTACTCAAATGTGCAAGATGGGAATTCTGCAGGGAGCAGGATGCGCTGCTCCTCGGGTGAAACTCCGCTGCCGCACTCGCTCCAAAGCGGGCGGAAAGAGCCACTACTTTTTGGGAAAACTGATTGCAGCAGAGAAGGAAATAAAGTGCACAGGTCCGATTCACATACCCGTGCGGGAATATATCTGCTGAAGTAGTCACAGGGCATTGCTGATTAAATGAAATACTCTGTAAATGCAGCAGCACTGAAAGTAGATGCAAAGGGATATCTGCAGCACAGTGAAACTCCAGCGTTATCCTGCTTTTCAGTCTTTATTTTCGATAATCTCGGCCAGGGACAGACTGACACCAGCGCAGGTGAGATTCAACTGCAGCCAGCTGCAGCCTCGGGATAATCCCAGGGCTCTGGAGCTGCTGATGAAACTTGTGCCTGGAAGCAGCCTCAGGGCTGCCAGGGCACCCTCATCCCAGCACAAGTTGATGTTCAGGACAACTTTCTTCTCTTTCCTATTAAAAACCTGTCTACATCAAAGATGCAATCTGGATGCTCCCAGAGCTGCGGTGAGGCTTTTCTACGGCTGTTTGAGCAGCGTGTTATACCTGCTTATTTGAAGATGATGAGATTGGTTTTGTTGCTAAGAATTCATGCCAAGCATAATTTTGGGACACTGTGAAGAAATCATATTTGCATATTTTAAGTATTGATATAATACAAAATTCTTTTTATGTCTCTTTTCACAGCATAATGCTTTTGCTGCATTGTACAACAGCAGTATAGAAAAATTTGGAAAATAGATTTTTTTTTTTGAAAATAGATTTTTTAAATTTGATTTTCATTTTGCCAAGTTTGGAGCATCCTTTCTAGTCATGACCTGCTCTGTATGATCTCGATAAAAACAGTAATTGCATATAGATACTTCACACAGTAGTGCCTTAATCAAACAAATGAAATACCTCTTCTGAACAAGAAGCTTCTTTTCCTAAATACGCTCTTTTTCTGCTCTTGCAGGCTTTATGGCAGACCCAGCAGGTAGCCAGCACTGATCCTGTGGATCTCTCCTTTCTTTCCTTCCTCTCGCACCCCTATGCCTCCTTCAGTCCGTCCTCTCTCCATGCCCCGAGTGCGGAGGGGGTTATTTCTGGTCTTGCAGGCTTCATGCCAAGCCCTAGAATAGAAACAGCTCCCACAGACCACAAACGTCTTCCTCCCCTTCACTGACCAACTTCAATCCTGACTTCCCTTTCGCTCCTTTCTCTCACAGCGGGTTAAGGAGCGCAAGCAGCCCCGGTGGGCTCGAGGACGGGCTGTGAGCAGCACGTGCTCCTGCTGCAAGTCTGCAGCTCCAGGAGCTCCCCCCGCGCTGAGGGGAAGCTGCGGGGGAAGGTGCGGGGAGGAGGCGCAGTAGGAGCGTGAAAGACACTCTCTCCTCTTGGTTGTCTAATTAATACGAAATCCACTTTCTGTGCAGCCAAGGGTAGCTATGTTGTATTCTAATAGCCGGGAAGGCCTCAGGTGCTTGGCTGTTGTGAGCCCCTCCTGCCAGCCGGGCTGGCTGCCCTGAGGGCTCCTCCCTGCACAGGGCTGCCGCAGCCCTCGAGGGCCTCTTTGAGGAGGTCCCCATATGTGTAGGGGTTTTCAGACCAGTTGGAGTGCGTAAGTGTCTAATAGAAGTGGAAACACGTGTAAGGGAAACGCCGGCCTTCCTAGCGCGTGTGTGAGGATCGCCTGGGAGGGAAGTGTGAGAACGCGCTCGAGGCTCAGGCCCGTCCCTACACCCTCCGCTCGGCTCCGCAGGGTGAGGGCGCTGGGCCGGCCCGGCCGCGGCACCTCTCATGCAGCGGGTCCAGAGCGCCTGCGCCATCTACTGCGGCCCCTGGAACAGCAAAAACCAGGGAGGTCCCCGGAGCAGGCCCGGGATCCCTGTCATCTGCTCTGAAGTGAAATGTGCTGCTTCCCCTTCATGTTTTTATTTATAACTGCCTCAGTGCCGACACAGAGCGGCAGGAGAGCATTAGCACGGGCTAAGGTTGTGGCCCGTTGACATTATCTACTGCTTCATGAAAACCAACTGGCGTCGCTGACAGCCAATCATTGCCAGACAGCTGACCGTTCCTTACGGATAGTGGTTACAAAAACACCCCACTTTTCTGTTATGAAGTTTATTCAGTTATGTCTAGCAGTTGGCAATTTTAATGGGAAAAGTTACCTAGATTATTTCAAAAAGCTGGCAGCTGAAATTCAGTTTGTTTTTTGAGACTGGATAAACAGTTGGCAAGTGCCAACTCACTAAACGCACTAAAAAACCCAGCGTGATTTGATTTGTTTGTACAGCAAAAAGATTGTTCTTTAATCCCTTTGGAGTTGTTGGATTTCGTACTCCTGCCAGCTGAACTAATGAAAAATCCTCTGGTGTGACATGTCAAGAAATCCAGAAACGCCCTCGTTGCAGCGTCACTTCTCCTGGAGGCAGCAGGTGCCTTGACACAACGGCAGATTATCAGGATCTCACAGAAATGCTCTTGGGCTCAACCCAGTTGCTGAAATATATTTACCCTGGGTGGTTTGGGATGCCCTAGGACACCGGAGACCTCCCCTTGGGACTGGCTGATGTTACCTCAGGGAGTTCGGGGGCAGTTGAGAATATCCGCCTCATTCAGACACAGTCTTCTCCCTTCGGGCAAGTGGATCAAGGTCAGTCCCTTTTAGTTATGTGCTAAAACATGCGCATTTTTAAAATATTCCCTTCTATTAATGGAACTAGTTTTCCAACAGTTTTGGAAAAGATGTCTAGCTAAGCATCCAGATGCACTTGTTTTATACGAGCATATGACTTACATGCATCTTAAAAGCTATAGGAGAAACAAAACAAAGACCATCCACACTGCACACCTCCAAGTGTAGCCTAAAACCTCATCAATGCCTTATTTTTTCAAAAAGTCATATAAAAATCTCCAGAAAAGTTCCAAATACAATGAAGTATCTTCTCAAAAAGGTATATATTGAAGTGTTCTCGTGTTCTCACAGGGAATCATAGCAATAGTTTACAACTTCATTAGAAATAATATTAAAAATAAAACCAAGACTCCATTTCTTTGCTCTTTCCCATTTCATCATGGCTTTAATAAGTTATTTTTCTATATATGGTGTATGTATGACTATATGCTTCTAGATATATATATGTACACACACACACACATACACACATACACATATATTTGTAACTTGCTCCCCTTTTTTTTGTTGATTGTTTTTTTGTTGCCTTAGCTTTATTTGCTACTTGGGAGAACAAACCAGAGCAAATGTATGCAGGCAATGGGGACAGGGCTTTCCACTGCACCGATGAAAACTAATTCAAGAACCAGAAAGTGATACAATTATCTAACAATTCTTCAGAGAAGGTAAGTAAGTGTTTTAAGTGTTGATATAATCCCAGGAAGCAGACTCTAATGATCATATATCCTTTAATTATCACAACAGTTCAACAGGCAAAACAATTATCTTTTAATTTCCTTGTCAAGATCAAAGTATCTCACAAGATATTCAAGCATAACTTCTCTGAATGGGGGAATCTCACCAGAGGTTTTACTTACCATTTACTGTTTACTATATAAAATTATGTATTATTCTTAAAAAATAAACCTCAAGGCTAGCACTGGGAATGCACCTCTGCAGTTAAGAAGTCAAAGCTGATTAGCAAAAAGTAGCTTATTTTTTTCAAACATACTGAAGGGTGCAGAAGAATACTTTTAACAGAAGAATGTGGCACGTCCATGCACATTTGGCAGCTGCTCGAATTTCAAAGGCCATTGAGGTTAGCATGTAATGTCATTGGCAATACAAATATGGCACTGCATGATCAAGTAGAGGAAAAGGATTGTGGACAGGACAATTTTTTGACTAAGGAAGGAGAAAAGTAATATATTCCGAAAACTACAATTGAGGAAATTGAATAGTATGTCTTGTAACCCTTTTTACTGAAGTTAGAGTGTGCCATTAATAAAATGCATTAAAAAAAAAGCTTGCTTAAATGCAATGCTTTTTGATATGTCTTAGGAAGCATTATTTTGACATTGCTAATTGTTGTCTTTTTCTCTTTTGATAAATGGATTATGCAGAATTAATTCCCTCACTATGTAGATTTAATCCACAACACAGGACCACTCTGTCAGAATTGTTAAGTATTTTGAGGTTTCTAATGAATAGATACAAAAAAAAGCCATACTCAATTAATTTATTAGTTTGAAATTTTAAAATATAAATCAGTCACTCTTTTTATCTATAGCTTTCTGCATTTAACTAAATCCTACTGCAAAAATGCCCGGAGAAAATCATTATAGGATATTTTTGAAGACAGATTTTTATCATAATATTCCAAGATGTTAAATAACTCTTCCTCAGTTAGGTTAATGCTGTACTCACGAAGAACCTGCAAAAGACAGAAATCATACAACTGATTCCAGTGCTGTGGATTAGCAAAGGAAAAAAAAAACAGTTTATGTTGCTAAAATTTCTTTAAAAATAGCTTCATGGTTCAGCTCTACTCAGGTTTCTCAGAGTATCTGAAATTCAAACTCTCCCTATTATCTCTTAGTTTTCCAATGCTGATATTGTATCCATGGTATGCATTCCCAAAAACCCGCATATACAAGGCTTTTGCCCACTAGCTAAATGTCATGTGGGTAAAGAAAGCATTTTGGAAATGGGTAGCACTCCTGTGCCTTGACGCTTGTTTACAGAAAGTCCATATTTAAAAGGCTTTCATTACTATAAACAGATGGGACCAAGAGATAGAAAAATCATCTTTTCTACCCTCCTTGAATGATCTGCAGTCTTTGCATTCAGAATAACAGAGGGAGTGATCCAGTCTCTCAAATAAATGTATGCACAGTAGTAATGTCCATGGGCACTCTGGGCTTTTAATGCTCCTGAGACAAATACTCAGCCTCCAGGTGCTCGTGCTCAACTCTTCCACGAGAACCCAACTTGGCCACGGAGCATCTGGTTCAGCAGATGCCAAAAGTGAAGCTGGACACCTGCCTCTTTCAAAAATTCCACCCAGTGCATTTTGCAGCATGTCAACAGATTTAAATGTCCCGCCGCCAATGCTCTGCCAAGTAAACTTTCAGTTAGGAGGCTTGCATTAGACTACTGTAATTGTCCAACTGTTATTTGATAAGTGAAGCTTACTTGTCTAAAATCTGGAATATTTAACAATCCGGTCCGACTTTCATCATAGGATTTAAAGGTTCGCCTCATTGGTCTCCAGCAGTGCAGGATTTGGGGTTGAATTCTCAGCATTGCACTGAAGAACGCTGTGGTTTGTGGTCCAGGACTCAGCTGGCAAAGTTGGGAGAAAGACCAGCACTTACTAATACCAGGAACACAACCGGGCACGACGGTAACACAGAATGAAAAGGTGGCAGAACAAAACTGTGACGGAAACTGTGACAGGCCACTGCATACCCGTATACAAGTTATTGCAAGATATTGCTTACACAAGATTTATTTAATCTATAACATTTTAAAAATATTGGGAAGTGTAGACGGTATATTTACCTAGTCACAGTCAAAATCCTAACTTTTATTATTTGAATCTGATTCTGAGGGCAATGTTATTTCTTCTAAGATCTCAGTGTTTTCACACATATTATACTTGTCCTTGTTTCAACTCTCAGTCATTCACAGTTCTCTGAGGTGTTCATTTTTTAGAGCGAATTTCTTGCTATAAAATGACTGAATGCATAAGCCAACTGTTGGAGCAGTAGACTATTTAAGAAAAACAAAACACCAATGTATGTTTTTCCTCACACATAAAATACCTTGTGACCAATTTTTGAACATTTCTACAGTTTGATATTTGGAACACGGAGTCAGTTTTATTGGGAAGTGTTGTCTCTTTTGTGTTAGCCTTGCTGAAGTCGTTACATTGTTGAACCTTGAACACATGAAGTGTGAAACTACTGATTATGGCAAAATTCATTCCACTTGTACCATGCAGTAAGACTTCAGTTGTAAGGGTAAGGGGAAAACTCAGCAAGCCTCAATCATCCTACAGGGTCTTGGTCTCCTGTAGTGCCCTCTCTGACTACAGCTCCATCTCTACCTCTCTCCATACTCTCCTGGTATTATTATAGCAATAGGGTTAAGTCAACAGTCCCCATTTGTGCCAGTTGCTCAAGCCACTGGCATCTCTACAAATGTCTCGGTGTGGAGGAAATGTACGGTTGCTTTTACTCATCTGCTACCTGCCACCCAGAATACTGATTCTCTCCTGCTTTTGAGAAAGAGTTGTGCCTGCTGCAAAAAAAAAAAAAAAAAAGGTTTTATTTGTTTTTATTATTCCTTTTGATGTATGTCTGTATACTTATTAGGTGGAATGGGCTGAGCAATCTATGAGGAAATTTCACTTTGAATATTACATTCTATAAAGATGCTCAGAACATGGATCGAGCTCTTCACTATGCTTCCTGAATAGAATAAATAAAACAAAAATTATTTGAGACTACAGCACAGGGACTTAAAAATTACTGCTTTATGCATCCCAGCGTACTGGGATAGAATTTTACAGCATCACATTTGTGTATAAAAGAAGCCTTATGTAAGATAATGAAGTTCTTTGATGCAAAACTTAATAGTTTTACCTTACTCTCCCTACTGGCAGTGAATACTTGATAATTCCTAATGACACTCTCTTCTTACCTTGGTAGCAATCTGTTCCACAGTTCCACAGCTGAAAACAGTTCCATAATGTAATTTCTCCATAAAACGCTGCTACTAACCATATCTAAGCTAATTAGGCACAGTCAGAAACAGCCTAAGAACGTAGCAGGTTTGCTGAATGAGCAGATTTGGAATCTGGCGCTGTTTCTACTTCGCATCTTGACTGGGCACAGTTACCTATCTCTCTTTTCTAGGTCAGGAGACTCAGATTTTGACATCTCTTCTGATCTTTCCTGCCCTGTGCTGGCACCATGGGCAGAAGGGATCAGCTCACGTGCACCAGCCTTGCTTGGACTGCTTTGCCTTTTCATGGCAGTTTGTGGACAGGGTTGCTGCAAGGGCATAGTGTGGGCTGACTAGTCATGGCTATTAGATGTTTTTTAGACAGTATTAACAGGGAGGGTTTCCTCTGAGCTTTTCTTACTGTCCCCAGTGTGGAGCTGAGGCAATACCTGCCCCTGGCAGTATCTCCAGCTGCAGCTGTCCCACGAGTCAGATATCCACTGCAATTTTTATTGCTACTTGATTTAGCTAAAAGTCTCCTAGAACTTCAGCTCTCGTGTTTTCTATTTCTATTATCCAAGTTTTAGCAAATATATCGTATACCCTGGATAGACAGAGCACGATCCCAAGGAGTTAAATGCTGTAGCTGAAGGAGACACCATATGAATATTATTATTAAATAGGAGATAGGATTAAATAGAAGAATGTTGGAAAGTTCCTGTATAAGGTGACAACAGAATCAGGCCATGAGATATTCTGTGAGAGAAGCAAAATTAAAAAAAAAAAAATCCCCCAAACCTTAATTTTTAAAAGCTTTGCATATACCGGTATTTGTGGCTTCTGTATAATCATCCTTTGTAGCAGGGAGGTTTCCTTCGGCTTTAAAAACAAGATGCAGCTCTGAAGGAAGTTACAATATGCAAATTTTCCATTATTCTTGAAATCATATTTTGTTGTTATTTGCTTAACTTCGTCTTCACTTAAATCCAACTCAAACTTCTCTGCTATATCTAGAATAACAGAAATGCAAAAAACAACAACAACAAAAAACCTGTCACTCTCAAAAATAACCAAGCATTGCAACTGACAAATTTTAGTGAGGATATAGAGGCACGCCATCAGTGACTGCAGCATAAACACGTTGTGCATGCCTTAAGCTATGCAGAGCTACACGTATATGTGCACGATTATAGGCATGGCAATTCACACTGAACAAGGTTTTAGCTGATTGATAACATGCCATTTTAAATGCTCGAGAAGTACTTCTTGATATTAACTGTGATAAAAGTTCTCATAAACTGATAACATGTTCTGATACCCGAGGCTTTACAATTGATTATTCAGGTGCATATTGTCTTACTACATGGGCAAATGTCCTTTACAAAGACACAGAAGGTCATCCCTGCAGAAGAGAGCAGAGCAGCATAGCTTAGCTCTTCCAAGGGAAAAATCCAGGGGCCTTTGAAATTAGCAGGCCCTTAGCCACCAGTATCAGTGCAACCAGGATTCCACCATAAAGCACATACAAGAGCATAAGGGAAATGTCTGGTAAATGTATATTTATTCACATCTCCCCAGTCCTACAGAAGACTAATATATTAGGAAGGTTATCAGCCAGCCTGTGTATATGCCATAAATACCAACTGGTCTTTCCCAGGGAATAGCTAATTCTGAGTCCAAACGTGTGGCATACACGGCTGCATTTAGTCCTGTTCTGTTCTAGCAGGATGCAGCAGTCATGCAGTGGATGCCACTTGCTAGGGACCAGATGTTCCTATGGCTAGGACACCAGAAAGAAAATGAAATACATCTTAAAATGAAAAAAACATTTATTGGATGGTAACAAACCTAGGAAGTCTGGCACTGGGATTTCTCCTTTCTTGTGGACATCCTTCTCTTTGCACTCTTTCAGTATTCTTCTCCAGGAATGCTTGATTTTCTTGCGTATCTTATTTTCTATCGGTTCACAGTTAAGGACAGGGGCAGAACATGTTGCTGTTGTCTGAGGACGGCTGGATGCTGGTGTCTAAAAGAAAGAGATCATGATAATTTTTCTTCTCAAGCTTTGTTGGCTATGTAGAAAAAACATCAAATGACAAATGACAAATTCTAGCCTTTCATATTGGAGTTTATAATATTTCCCAGGGCCTCCTTGAGGATTTCACTGCAGCCTTGCACACCCTGCCATGCAGTGCTGCCAGGGCACTCAGTTACTCAGGATCAGATTCAGGCTGGCCAGGGGCTTTCCAACAGCCATGAGTTTTGGGAGGGCTGATTTATAGTGGCCAATCTAGCATCCACTGAGAGTAATGAGGAGTTTTCTATTGCTTTCTGTAAGGATTAGGTCAGAGCATGAAGGATGTGTGTAACTAACTGCTTTTTAAGAAAGAACTTACAGGTAGTGCAATAATTTAGCTGCAAGTGGGCTGTTTAGAAGAGCCCTCCTGACAAGCTCTCTGTTTCTTTAAATTGTTCAATCCATTATTTCTTTTTCAATAGCTAAACATCTCATGCAGAAGTAGGAAGAAAAATCCAAGCATGTTCAGAGCACTGTATTGTTCTAAATTGTAGAATAATTGTATTTTTCTGTTTTAAGTTTGAAGATAGCCAAAGAACATGGAAAATACAGGGCAACCACACGGAGGACATTTCATTTTTATGCCTGTCATGATTTCCTCACCTTTCTGTGAATTCTACTACTCGTGGAAGATGGACGTTCAGGCGACCCATGTGATTCATTGACAGGAACTATAGATACAGATGCAAATCTGAAGAAAAACTGCTGCCATTCTAGTCCACTTCTCTTGTCTCTCCCAGATTGCTGCCCTTTAGACTATCAGCCAATAACAGCTGCAACGTGTCACCCACCAGAAAGCAGAGCAAGGCCATGAGAACATTTTTGGACAGGCCAGCAAACACCATTTGGAAAATGGCAACTCCCCAGCTTGCCCGGCTTTGGCAGATGACCACAGATTGACATTTGTTAGGCTGCTTTTGCAGTTATTCAGCCTTGGAAACTTCATCTGTTTATTTTTTTCTCATAAAAAATGACTGCTAAATAGGTTTATTGTAAATTGTATTTGCAATACCACTCTGATGTAAGTAAAGTAACAGGGTATGTTACTGGCATAAAATTAAATAAATCCTTTGACTAAAGTGGAGTTGCACCATTTGGCCCATTTTTTGTCATTGTAACACAATTTTGCAAATTACTGCCCTTATTAACAGGTGTTTGCTAGAGGCTTTTGTTTGCCTGCTGTCATGGGCAGTTAATAGAAATGCCTTCGCTGAGTTCACAGGCATTATTTTCAGCCTATGCACAGAAATGAAAATCCAGAAAACTCCTAAAGTGTCTGTCACTTACTTTTCTTTGCTCTCCCAGGGAAGATGATGTCTTGGGACGTTCAGGCTGAGACGATACCTCTAACTCCAGCGTGGTAGTGGTGACTGGCCTGGTACAAGATGCAGAACTGCTTGTACTGCAAGTGCTCGAAGGCATCGTTCCACGTTCTGAGCTGAACTGCTTCAAAAAGTCCTGGTACTTCAACCGTCCACTAGCATTGACATCTACTGTGTTCCAAAGATTTTCAAACTAATAGAGAGCAAAATATGACTTTTGTAAATGATAGCTTAAAAAAAAACAAAATCTAGAATCCCCGTATGCACTAAACATATGACAAAACAAATTGAAAAGAAAGGGAGAAGATGGCCCTAGGAATGGAGGAATCCTAGGGTCCATCTCATTGAAAAAAAAAATAGTCTTATTTTCTGCAGAAATCTACATAAGGCTAGAAAAGCAATGAAATAGGGATTTCTGCAAGACATTTTTAATTGAATTGGGCCCTTAGTAAGCTGTTTACATGACTAAACCTTGTGCTTAGATGTAGTAACTGAGCTGCAGTCTAGAAGAGTAATGTTTTAACATGATGTGTAAATCAAATACATGGTACACTGATATCCTGCCTAAGTACCATGCTATCGGGTGCACCTCACTTCTACAACCATCTCAACGGGCCATTCAGGTTCCTCAGTTACTGTATTTGCATCACCAATTTATTTCACCCTGAGGGCAAAAATGAATCAGCACAAAAGAAAATAGCAGGAAATCTTTACAGCCTTCAGAATCACACATACATAGTGACAATGTATTGCCAGGAACTCTACCTCTACAGTACAGACTGCCCATAGATGACCTAGGAGGGTTTTTATAGCCTTACTGCTGTTGCTTGAAGCACCTTCCAGGGCCAGGTGGCAGAGTGCGGTGCAGGTCCCGTGCCCTCACAGTCACCTAGGGAATTCCAAGGATGGAGGTGCTGATCTTCCCCGGAATAGCACTTTATTCCCTAAGTAGCCACATTGAATTAAATGGGACTACTCATGATACAGGCTACTAATCAAAGCCAGGATTATTGCAGTCTGCCCTTAAATGAGCTGCCCTGATTTTGTGAATGTTTCCAGAGTCATCAGCATGCCTTTTTAGGGCCTTCATTATTGATTTTTAATATAAATCTAATTGGGAGCTTCAGATTGCTTTTGATTTGGTCTTTTTCGGCAGAGACTTAAGCCCTAAAGGAAACTAGTCACCTCTTTGATGCATGTGCCAAGTTGCAGTCAAACTTCAAAGGGCAAAGGATACATTCTGAATTTCCTTTTAACTTTTCCCCCATTGGCCTGGCTGCTGCAACATTATGAATTATAAACAATTCCATTTTGCGCTCGTGATTATACTTCACACTTCACACGAGGATCTCAAAGTGCTCTGCAGACTTCAATTAAATGGAACAATACTCCGATGAGCTGGGTTAGCTGCACTGAGCGACTCTTCCAACACCCAAGGAAATGTAGCCAGTTGGGGGACTGCAAATAGCAGTAGTTGTAGTAGTAGTTCAAGCAGGGAGGAAGAAAGTGCCAGGAATGGAAAGGAGTATTTTGATGGGTAGGATATTAATAAACACCTTGCGGTCTGTTTACCATCCTCAGCTTCTGGAAAAGGTCCCAGGATCGTGAGCCTAATGTCAGGGATAAATTCTTCATCCACAACTCCACACGGCCTCCCACTGAGTCTTGGTAATAATTGAGCATCACTCAGGAAAGCATTAGAGGAGGCATCTCCTGTGAAGCCACCCAGACTCTGACTATCAGTAACACTTTTGTAACAACTCTGAGCAGTGACAACAGCCCCAACAGGGGGGTGACAACAACACGGTTTGGGATTAGCAGTGGCAAAGCCCGTACCCAGACTGGAAGGCTCTCCTGGGGCATCCTCATGTAGCTCTACATAGGCATGTCTTTGAGAGGCCTGCCAAAGCCTCTCTGGAGACAGGGGGCTTGAGTCTCACTCATGCAGAGGCGCCTCAGGCTGGCATCTAGTTGCTATCATGGAAGATGGTTTCTATTGTGATTTTTTTTTTCTTCACTTGTCTGAGGTCCTCCTAAGCATAATCATACTTCACTTCTTTGGGGCATAAAGTAGACATAATCTAGTCCAGAGGACTTTCAAAGAAATAAAAGAAAGCCTAAGAGATTTGTCCTAACTCAGTGTGAAGTCTGTGCATTCGCCTAGGCCAGAGCTCAGCTGTGAGCTCAGCCTGGACACTCCGACTCAGCCTTTTGCAGGGGGCAGGAAAGAGTATCACCAAATTTTCACCTAAGTTTTCATTTGGTATTGATGCACTAGACTCAGATATGGCACTTGTACCTGGTGTCTCACCAAAAGCAGGGTGGCTAGGACTAGAGTACAGAGGCCATTTGTTCTTTCATGCTCTTTTCAAGGGGGAAATAGAAAACATTTTGATTTTTTTCAATGTTTTAATCTGTAACTTCTCTCCTGCATAGCACTGTCTGATAATATGGCAGATTGTGCAATCACTTTACTGTAACAACAAGTAGGCCCTGCTCTTGCCTGCGATGTAGAGTTCAAGTTGCTCGGTGGGAAGTAGAGAGCCAAGTAATAAATCTGCAATGAGTACAGTACTGCATTAGTTTTCTGTGCTGCAGACATACATGTGAGGCTGGGGGCTCTGTGTCTTTCAGTTGGCTGCCAAGTGGCACTGCTGCTGCCAAGTGACACTGATACTGCTCCGAACATGTAGGTTAGAGCGCTGCTCAGTGAAAACCCAAATCTCCTAGTCAAGGTCCCTTCTGGTTAATTATTCTCTGGACTAGGAAAAATCACACTGAGACAGCGTTAACAAAGATTTTAAAAAATGGTTTCTTTTGTCCTAAGCTTAGCAGAAACAGACTGCTGTGGACGACCGGGCCCTCGGGCTCCCCTGAGATTAGAGCTGGGCATATCAGATAGCTTGTACTACCAGATGTATGTCATGACTTAAGTCACTCACGCTAAACTCCAGAGTACAGAAGCTCTGCTGAGACTGATCCAGGGGAATCTGGATGCAGACACATCACTGAGAGGTGACCAGGAAATGTCAGACACTTGCCCCTTTCTTTTTCCAAGAGAAGAGGCCAAAAGAGTTGCTAAGAAAAAGGGATTTGCATTAGATCCGCATGGAAATGCTTTTAATTCCATGCTGAGCATGCTTTCTTCCCCGTCAACTGAAAGCAAATGGGCTTACAACTGAAAAAACAGCGAAACTTTTAAAAATAGCAGCTACCCAGCTATGGGGCTAGTAGAAGAGAACTACTGCGCTTTAAATTCCCGCTTAGCTATTAGCAATAGCACTTCCGTGACTTTGTTTCGGAAAGCCTATGATTATTATAGTTCCCAACTACATTCAGAGACAACAAAAAAGACCATCTCCTGCAAATGTAGCAACAAATGTTCCTGCAGTGATAGTCTTAAAACATCTGCATTTCACCCAAACTGTTAAACTGCTTGCCTACATTCACCACTATGCAAACGCATTCCTATAGCCACACCGGATTTACCGGTATTACACCTAACAACACAAAATAAAATAGTTTTCTTACTTGTTCTTCAGTCAGCAGGAGCAAATGCCGGTTGCAAACATCCCAGAACTCCTCTTTAGACACTGTGTTGTCTTCGGAAGAGTCAATATCCTTGAACGCTTTTGCGATGGTGTTAAAACGAGCGGCCGCCGCTTCGCGTATCCGGGAGAGGATGCCTCTCTCTGACAGCTCCCGCGAAGATTTAGGTAGGAAGACTTTTTGCCCTTCCTCGGTCTAGACAGAACATACACACGGAATCACTAATGGATCCACCGAATAAATTACCAGTGCCGGGGTGGCAGGCAGCCAGTCAGCGAGGGAAAAGGCCATGGAGGAGGCGGCCGCAGAGATCCCGCAGGCAGTAAAACCTCCTTCCAGGAATTCTGGCTTAGACCACAAAAGAGAAAAGGAGCCATATAAAAGTAGCTAAAGGGAGAAAAAAAAAAAAGAGAGAACTCTATAATCAGGATCCAACTGGTGACAGGCCAACAAAAGCACAGACTTCCAAGAGTGACCTAAACCTCTACAAAGGTCTAAAAAATGGGGTGATCTTACAAAGGGGGCTATTTTCTCAATGCAGAAAAAACAGAATTGAGTGCTAGCTGGCCCAAATATCCCAAATGTGTTCTTCTCATCTGCCCAATCTTTAGCACACAGTGGAAATCTCACGGCTTTGAAGGGGTCATCAGTCCTTAAATGAAGGAGAAGGCGGTTATTTCCCCTTCATGGCTAAATTCCAGATGTATTTTCTTTCATATATTTTTTACCTGGTCATCCATAATAGCTGAAAGCTGCAAATGTACATAGGTACCAGGTGAAAGTGGCTGGGTAAGTGAGCTAATGTTAGAGCAAGATACACTTTCTAAGTGTCCAGCTCTCATATCTAACAGCAGTGAACAGCTTTCAAAATCTACCAATAAACCCCATTCACAGAATCATAAAATCATAGAATCGTTATAGTTGCAAAAGACCTTCAAGATCATCGAGTCCAACCGTAAACCCTTCAACACCCTGCCTGCTAAATCATGTCCCTAAATAAGTGCTTCATCTGCATTCCTGACTAAACTTCCTATCACACATCCTGCAGGGTGAAAATCCACACTGGGAGTAAAACCAGTTGAAATTCACCTTGCAAAAAGAAGTAAAACTACAAAATATGGTTGCCTGGAATAAACAATTTGCAGAGTAAAATAGTACTTAGTTTTTGTATGGACATATTGAGAACACCCAAATCCCACTGTGCTTGCAGAAAGCTACATTTCATAAAAGTAAAGTCAGTGAAGTCTATTCAACATTCACTTTCTACCTCTAGAAGCAGCAGTAATTTTCATTTTTTAAAGTGGAACCAAGTTTTACTTATAAAATTAGTCTCAATGGTACAATGTGGAATAATAAGAAAAACAAAACATATCAGAATTATGAAACTACTTGTTTTCAGAAGTGGAAGCCAACTTTCCATGCAGTGCACTGTCTAAATTAAGTACATTGAATATCTTGAAAGCAGAGTTTTTACAAACAGCAGTGGCAGACAGTTTTACTATAGCTGTGGTAACAGGACCTGCTCAAAAGAAAAAAAATGTCTTTGCTTCAAAGGTATTTCTTTACAGAATGTTAAATGTAGCTATTATATTTTATACCTCTAAATTTAAGCATATAGGCTTTGCCACCTCCATGCTCCATGCAATATGAAATACCAAAAGAGAAACAGATGGCTTTTGGTCCTGTGCTCCTGTTTCCTTGTCATTTCTCACATGATTATTGTAATGGAATGGAGAAGAAAATACATTTCTTACAGAACAACACGAAACCTGTCTCCTAATCAGAAAACTCCGCTATCTTCAGATGCAAATAACACTTTTCAATATTAACCATGCTTTACATAAAACATATCAGCGGGGTAGGTATTACAGCTGTATTATTAAGAGGAGAAATATGAGAGGTGGAATTATGTAAGCAGACGTGGAATTGAGTCCATGCTGTTGTCAGGAAATGAAGATTGCCAGGCACGGTGCAGCATGGGGCACACTTTCCATGTTTCTGACAGTCTGAGGAACTAAAAAGCCCTACATCTCTGTTTTTAATTATTCTAATAAAGCCAGAGGCTTAGGGAAATTATTACTGCCTGCAATCCTTTAAAGAAACATGCTTCGAAAATGCAAGCTTCCCCAATTTATTTCATTTCAGGAGCTTTTTGTTTATTTCATAAGACCTCCTCCACTTTGATCTTAAAATTGTTAGAAAGTCGATATGAAAAAAATGATCACTTTTCTGCTTTCAAGTACAGACTGAAAACTGGAAAATCTTTGCTGTTCAGTTATTGCATTGCATGTCTGCTGTGCATTCAGTGTGTATTTATAGTTGTATCATCTAAAACACGAATAATTACCTAGAGCTGAATTAATGGAGCTAGAACCTAAGATTTCCGGCTGTGGCCTGGGGATCCAGATATTTAAGTGTCATTTCTGATGCTAACACGATACACAGTGTGAGTGCTTTTCTTAGCTTTGCTGTCTTGGTTGAACCTCCTGAGTAAAAGGAATGACACGAATTAACCTGCCTCGGAGCTGTGCAGTTTATGTCCTAGAAGTGCTTCCAAATCATTCATAGAAGAACTTTGCTTGGAAATAAATAAATAAATAAATGGGAGTTATTTCTCTTTTACCTGATTTGCTGATATTCACTGCAATTTTCTTCACTCATGCCATCAAACTCTTTTATTTGTGTTATTTCAGAACACAGAGACCAGGCCTCAGTAGACTGCTCCTGCAGCCCACACTATCTCCCACCACCAGCCACTGCTGCTGCCTGGGCCGGGGGCTGTGGTGACCACAACACTTGGGTGTCCTGCTCAGCCCCAGGACCCTGGGGAGCATCGGAGCAATTAGGAGGCCTCTCCCAGCTCACGGCTCTTCCCTGCCTTGCCACTGCTCCTGACAGAATTGGAGAGTGCCTCGGGAGCACCACGCAAATCCACAGAATTGGACAGCGCCTTGGGAGGACCATGCAAATCCACCTTCACCTCTGCTTTCACCATGATTGGGGGCATTTTGTGTGGCTCTTCTCATGAGCCGCACGATGGAGATCGCTTGCTGCTCAAGGCAGGGCTGTTTTTTTGTTCTTTAGAAAGCACAGCCTTGTGTCCTTCGCTATAAATGGCACAACGATGTTGATTAGTAATAAAAGAAGGCTCCACCACCCACACCTGCTCAGTGAAACTCCATTCCTGCAGCTCCTTCCTGATGGTGGAAGCGTTTTCTTTTAATTTTAACTATAAAGTGCATCAATGCGTCACGATAAATCACACTTTCTCTGGTTCTGTTCATTGCCCTACCACAAAAGCGACCTCCCTCCCTGTCTGGTGACGACTAGGAAGCGAAGTTCTTGGGAAGCTGCTTACATGAGAAGCCCCCGTATCTTTGCCCTGAAAAAGGATGCATCTTCCTCTCTGTGCATGAGGACGACCTTTGCCACAAGTAATCATCTGATTGACAGTTGATACAGGTTCAGAGGCTTGTGTGCTTAGCCCATGGGCCCGTCCCTAATGATTCCTGTCTTCCAGTTATTTTCCATAAAAGCTTCTTCCCTAACGACGTGTGGAAGGAGCAGAGTTGGTTGCCCAAGCGCGGACGGGAGCAGGGATGCATCTTGCTCTGCTGTTCGCATACCCAGCAATCCAGCAGCTGGCCAGCTCTGACTTTCAGATTCTGAATTAAAAGTTGCAGTGTTATGGAGAAGCTCATGTTTCATCACTGTGTCACAAGGAGAGCTGTATCCTCATCAAGCAATGATCAGTCTGGCTCCATTAACCTGTGTGCTGACTTACGCCTGCCAAGGATTCAATAGATGTGTGCAACAAGAGCTCGCGATATTAAACAGTTACAAACAAAAGATGAAGACTCCACTGAGGGTCTTTCTATAATGTACCATTTTTCTTCGGACCAGCTGTTTGCAACAAGCAGATTCAAGCGCCAAGGCCAGATCATCCACCAACGGGGACAGGTAGACCTATGAAGTGTTTCTCTTCAAATAAAAGGTAAGCATAAAAAAAGGCCTTCAATCAACCAAAAACTGCCCCCCGCCCCAAAAAAAAAAAAAACACACAGAAGAAGTAGGCAAGCAACACTGGGCAAAATCTGCCTGCAACCTGGCTAGTGCCATACGGTGAGAACACAGCTAAATATTCCCAGGAAGAAGGAGGAAGCTCGGCTGAACTTAGCTCCTCTGCGTGCAACATCCAGCCAGACACCAGAGCCACCAAAGGGGGACGGAGCGACCTTCTCAAAGCAGACCTGGACCTACCACGGTGCCACAGGGATTATTCCCTACCCCGCACCACAGTGTCCAGCAGCGCTTGACAACAGCATTAATGCAACATATCTTATGGTCTGGTCTCAAAACCATAATCCTTACTTTCTTCTTTCCTTCCTCTCCTGTTAAATATAGAGCAACCCAGAAAGGCTCTTCCATCACAAGGAACAACTTGAAAATTTGCTTTCTGCCCTTAAATAAGGGCAGGTTTTTTTTTTTGGTGGAACTTAAATTCCAAAAGATGCATTTCAAGAGGATCAAAGTAGTTTGTGAAGGATTTTGTTTTAAGAATGAAATTTTCTGCCCAGTTCTGGCTGTGGAATAGGAAACTATTGTTTCCTCTGGGTACTTTCACTATTTTCCTCACCACTCAGAAGAGAGGAGGAAAGGAAGGCACAGCTTCAGCAGAAAGGATCCCAAAACAGTTCTCCCAGCACGAGGAGAGACAGCACACTGTAATGATGGGGAAAAACGATGTGTGGGGAAGAGCAGGGGCAAGGAAGGGAAATTAACGTCACTATGGAGAAGGAGAAATGCGAAGTGAGAGCGATGGCTTCACCATGTAGGCTCTGCCTGGCACAAAGGGAGAGAGCCACTCAACGCTTCTCACTAGCAAACAGCAGAACACGGTCCTGGAGCTCAGTCCTGGCACTGGGAGGTGCAGTTTTCGCCGTGGCAGGCTTCAACAAGAGGAATGTGCTTGCTGCACTGGGGGGATCCTTGCAGGGCATCTGCTGCAAAGAGCGGCAGCTTCCTCTCCGTGGCAAGAATGGTATCAAGCACCAGCAAACACGACTGCAGCTTTGCATGCGGATGGAGCAGGCAGCACTGGCTGAAAACAAGATGCACTCAGCTGGTCACGAAGCTACTCCGCTGTATGAGACAGACTGCAGGAAAACTCAGAAAGCTAAATGCAAACAAAAATGGGAAATCGGGGGTGGAAACAGGGAGTTCAAGACATGGCTAAATGAAATACCCAATTTTATATTGAATTATTCTGCCATCTTTTCTGCCAAAAAATATCCTGGAAATCAAGGTAATCTCCAAATTTCATCATTTTGGATGAAATCACATTTTTTTCTAAGCAACAAAAAAATCATTTATTGAGTGTGTTCCTGCTCATTCCAATAATTCTTTGTTAGCTGAAAAACACTTATCAGCTCAGTTCCTGCCCTTGAATGGGCACGAGCCACGGCCTGTTCATTCTTTCTGCCATCTCCTCAGCTTGATCCGCTCTCTTTCTCCTCACTGCTGGAACCTTGACAATTTAAGGTCTACTAAGCTTGCAAGAAATCACTCAGCAGCTGCAGCTCCAAGGTGAAAATATTTGGCCCTGATCACAGGCCCTCCTTTCCTCACATACTCGCCACATTTTTGCTGCTAATTCCATGTGCAAATGTTGCTTTCTAGACCTGACCAGCACTCCCTGACCTACAACTTTTAACATTCATTCTTTATTTTTTCCCTTCCCCAAGTGAAACATCTCACACTGGGAAAAGATATTTGAGCATATTTTCTCTGAGGGAAGGAGGTGTCTCATTCCCAACTGGGGCTTCCATTAGGCCAGACTGTATTAGCCACCTAATTTAATCTATAAGAGCTCCACTTAGGCCTTATTAATCATCAGACTGGCAGCCAAGAAAGGTTCCTGATGCAGATTCCCAGCTTCAGGGTCTGGATTTTTTACAAGAACCCTCAGAGGGTACTTGTAACCCTGGCGGTTAACAGCATCCCACCTCAGACAAGGTCCTCACTGTTTCCTTTCTCAGCTCTTCTGCAGTTGGTTAACAGTAACGCAATCACAGTTCTTTCTTACCTAAATACTAAGCTACAATCATATTGCTTAAAATACTTTACATTTCTTTAGTTCTATTTTTGTATATATAGCCCTACAGAGCTGTGATTCAGTGGGAACCCTGCTCATATAAATCACATCAGACCTACCAATGCTGCAGTGTGTTTGCTGGAGAATTCATCAGAATGTAAAGCTCATTAGCATATGTCAGAGCCATCAAAAGATCTGCACGACACATGAAGCATTTAGAAATAATTTCCGCAATATTTTTTCATCTCTCCTTATTCAGCTGTTTTCTAAGCCTAAAATACAATTTAAACCAGTATGGCATTTGGGTTTGTGAATGTTTGCCTTTGTGGTTGTGGGTTTTATTTATGAGGTGCCATTTGAGACAAAAGTCATCCCAGGCTCTTACTTTACTAGTTCAGTAAATTTTCCATACTTTAATGATCAAGCTGCATACTTTACTTGTTACTTTTTAATATACTTCAGTGATCAAATTGTATAGTGTAATGATAAGTTTTCCTAATGTGCCTGAATGAGTTGCAAACCTCATTAATTTAGTTACACACTTTACAGGCCAAAATTGTAGCATGTTTGGATGAAGTGAATAATTTCACAACCAGCCTTCTCTCAGAACCTGCACAGGAGCCCAGGGATATGTGCGAACCCAGGGTGGGATGAAATTGCAAAGGCGAGGCGTGAATTCAAATGGAAAACTTGAGATTTGAGAGCTTCTGGAAGCTAAAGCAGCACTATGAGCCTGGTTCATGATTATTTTGTTTTTTAAAAAATGTTCCCATGTAGCTTAATTTGGGATTTAAATGATGGGTTTATCCCCTCTACCCATGACACAGCACAGAGAAGTGTTCAGGAAGCATGTGTTGCCATAAAAGAAGTACTACAGACTTCACTTCCTTCATGGACCCAGGACCCCTCGAAGGGTGCAAAGGTGCCTTATTTTCTTTCTTATAAGTTGAGGTGGAAAGTACTCAGGGTCTGGAAGGACTGTTAAAAGAGATTTTTGAGTTAAAACGTGCACTCTTTCAGAGGCTGAACCTGGGAGTGCACAGCTTGTTCAAGTTGTTATGAAGGATTAGCACCTACTTGCAAAACGAAGAGACATTACAGCAAAATCTTTCTCACCAAAAATAGTTACCTGTTCTGAAGTTAGCATGTAAGCCTGCCAATGGTCAATATTACAGCACACCAGTACATTCCTAAAATAATTATTTGGATATTTCATATTCCATACAATTGGTCTTTGTGCTAACATGACTTAGTTGAAATTTACTGGAATTGTATCAGCCTAAAAGCAGGATAAAGGGGAAATGTGGCATTTTCTAACCTATACAAAGCATTCCAGTGTTTTACACTTGTGAATCATGTAATCTATTATATCTTTTAAGACTGCATTTTAATTTTAATAAGCTGAAAATATAAATATTTAAAAATCCTCAACTATTCTTTAAGTAACTATAATTAAATGCACTCCTGCCACTAAGGACAAAGTAACAGTTGCGCTGCTATAAATATTAATGCTAAATTTACAAAGAATAAAAGATATTCAAGCAACCTTATAAAATTTTGAACAAAACTTCACTTATAATAAACACTCTGGTAAATCTACACCCATTGGTAACTGACACACATGTATAAAGTCCATAGCACATTCCTAAAGCTATAACACATTACAAACATTTCAAAGCGCTTTATGGGTCCTCCTTCATGTGAAAACTGTGGTCCCTCTCTTTCCTCTTGTGAATCACCCTGCAGTTATTTAAAGCTGTGTAGACTTTTTGACTTGGGTTATTAACAGACTGAGATGAAGTCCTCACTGGTTTCTCAGTTCCTACTTTATGACACAGGATTTAATTACCATATAGTTCTATACGGATTTGTTTTGCACAACATTCTGCTATTGCCATGGCAATAAAGTGCTAGGCTTTTTATATGGTTTTCCATTGGGTGATGGTTATTATTTTTCTCGTTTTATTTCTGCTTCAAGCATATATTTTGAAAGGGAAGCCAAGTTACTTCTTGGAAGATAAGATGTAGGCTACTACTAAGTTTTTTTAAAACCGCTGTGTAAACTGCTAGGATGTGGCTTTCACATGCTCAGCCAAACTCAGAAATGAACCGCAAGGTAAAGTCATTTCTATTCCTTTACACTCAGACCTACTTACACCCACTTGCCGCTGGGTAAGGCAGCCTAAGATGGGAGAAACGAGAGGAAAGGGAAGGACTGTGAAATTAAAATAGGAGAGAGTCTGCTTTTACTTGCACCTTTCGAAATGCTCCCATTATTTATGAGTGTGCTGAGGATTTCTGCGCTTGTAAAAGGACGCGAGCAGGAGCTGAAGTATCCGTTCCTGCAATCTGTACCAAGATAATATTCTGTCTATGACTGCAAGCCACATTTTCTCTATCATTTGGTGTCCCGTACTCATATCTTCATGTAACACTCCTTGCTGCTACATGTGCACTGATATAACCTGGTGGGCTTCCCACTCCATGCACCCCTGCTCATGCAGCACCTTACAGTTTGGAGAACAAAATTCACTGGGTGTATTTGGGTGTCCTACATCATCCAGGTGGGGCAATTTGGCTGCATCTGTAGTCATGTCTTCAGCTTGCCACATGTACAGACCTATATCTGTATCAGTGCAAGGGTTAACCTCGGAGAACAGTTTATAAGGAGGTTAGGACTTCATGGAGTTCAAGAGAGATCAACAGAAAGATACATCAATTTACATGCTTAGTTACACAGTCACTTTTAACACATTAGATCTTATCTTTAAAAGAAATATCTTATAGCTTGGTAGCTCCTTCCTACCTCTGAGGGGAGGTTGATGTTTTTCAGGAAAATCTTCCAGTTAACTGTCAAATCCTCACGCAGTTTAAAGTTCTTGAGAAGGTGCCTAAATTGTTTGTCTGATAATTTAAAGCAGAAATGGTCAAGTATCTGACGAAATTCCACTGTTTTAATTACTCCAGTGTCTTCTTTATCAAACAGAGAAAATGCCTGAGAAGCAAAAATTCACATTACTGGAGAAAAGCTGAGCATTCTAAACACATTTCTTTTTTAGTATTCATTTAGTATTCATTTATTTACATGGAAAAGCTTGATATCCGTATACTTTTTGCATGCAAGTATTTTATACATGAAGAAAAAGAAAACATTTACTAGAGCCCTGCTTGGTTAAAAAGTTACCATTGTTTTAAAAACAAGATGTACTTTCTTACATAAAGCAAAAAAAGCCTGTATTTTTTTGCTCAGTGTATATCTAAACATGCAAATAAACAATAACCTGCAGTAAGAGCAGAAGGGCTCATAACAAATATCCAAACATTGCAGAATAGGCAGAGAGGAAAGAAACACAAATATTCGAGGGTTGCCCTGAATATTTTTTATTTAAAATATTTTTAATTAAACTCACTAGAACATATTTATTTGCCTTTTCTTACCAAAGCAGAACAACTCTCCCTGTCTGAGCATGTTTATCTTTCTGTCTACTCCATAAAGGGCCCGATAGCCCCTCGTTCCCATTAGATTAGCTTCAGCTCATCCTGCAGGCTCGCTTGCTCTGGTATTGCTCTCTCTTGCACGGGCCACCCTGCCTATCCAAAAGGTTCTCAGAGGGAGCAGATTAGGTTTATAACAGTTGCAGCTTTCAGATGCAGTAGTTAGGGAGTAGCTCAGCAGTTCATGCAAGAGTGATTGAGCTGAGTGAAAGAAGCACTGAGGTCTAGGAAAGCTGTGGTTCATAACCCCCCTCAATCCATCTTGTTGCTACCAATTTACTGCGTCCCTTTGCTTTATTCTGCCACCTATTTATAGTATTGCGTATATAAATCATTCACTCCATAAATGTAAATGAATATTGCGACATTCAAAACTTCAGGTTAAAGTCCTATTAGTCTTCTAGCAAAGTAGCATATGGGTATAATACAACATTTTTTATGTTTTAGCATTATAACCGTTATAAATAATGGATTTAAAGATGTATTATTTTTATGTACATGAACCAGGCTGAGTGGCAAAATAAATACTAGAATATCCTAAAGATATTGGAAAGGAATCCTTGGAGTATTAAAGAGGATCCTATTAGGAGTTTCTTAATAAGACACTTGGATTTTCAGTTATATATTGAAGAACTTATGGAAAAAAAACACTGAGTGTATAGTATACACTGTACTGAAGTATGGTGAAAATGAGTGGAAAATGATTACACTGAGAGAGAGGACCTGTTTGAACTCTTTAGCTATTTTTAACAAGCTTTCAAATTTTCAGATTTGTAGAAATGTTGTGGATGGAATGTGATGGTTTTTTTGAATGTAGGAACTGTATTTTCAGTCCTGTCTCTTTCTAACAAAACATTTTGTTAAAACTTTATGCTCCTTATCACATATGTCACAAAAATTACTATTCAAAAAAGGCTGGTTTTTTTCAACTTTGGGTTTTTTTTTTTGGAAAAGCAAAAGAGAACTTTATATAGATGTCATATAAGGAATTAAGAAAAGTTCTGTTTTTCTCCAACATGGTAGACAAACTGTGGCCCTCCATGGAGAAACTAGGTTAGTCTACAAAGTTATTTTACCCACCTACTGGCATTTTAAAAGACCATATGGATGCTTTGTTCATGTCAGAGGTCATGTTCATGTCAGAGGTCATCTTCAAATCATACACTCAGCAGACAAAACTTCCCCATTCCCAAGGCACCCAGGGATGAGAAGACAGATATTGTCCTCCAGGAAGCCTCATGTCCCCCATTAAAATTTAACAAACACTAACCTATGCTATTGAATTTATCTATTTCTTATTTTAATAATGCAGAGCACAGTAAGGATTTTTTTGCTTTACTCTGAAAAATGTAAAGTGCCTATATGAATATTTCAGTATCCTGTTTCCCAATAAGACTATCTGGCCCAAAATGGTGAGGTGATCCCAATAAGCTTATAAGCATTACAGGAGTCCCCAGACAGTGTGAAAATAGGATTCTTTAAAGAAACAGCATCTCCCGTGGTAATATTTTTTTTTTCTCACCATTGAAACCATTCGCAACATCTTTGCTGGAAGCCTGGGTTATTTTTACCTGCATGACCAAGTCCATAGATTGAGATTTCAGAAATGCAGTAACTGGTGAAAATAAGAACCCAAGTCCTAGTAGCAGCACATGGCAGGTGGGAGGACCACCTTGCTGGGCATGGGAGGCAGCGAGCCCAGTTTCGCAGGCAGACGTCTGCCTCCGCAGCCATGGGCCTGAACTGGGCCTCCCACTGCAGGTGCAGCTGAAGTGGCTCTGCAGTTCTTTGAGATAGGAAGGTTTTCTTCAAGGTCTTTTTGATCATTCTTTGCTATGCCTGAAAATATTCTTACTGTGGCATCGAGAACTATTTACTCCCAGAGGCTGCTGTGTTTCTGCAGACTCAGATGTAACAGTCTACAACTACTTAATATGCAGCATTTTTCATTCAGGGTTTTCAAAACTCTAGGGAAAAGCGGTTATTTTTATTGTCCTCATTTTACAAATGGGAAAACCAGGGAACATGCTGCCTGACAGCTAAAGCACTTTACCTCTCTGAGTCAGAATGAGAGGTGGACAAGAGAAAATGTAGATAGTTGCAGCTTACATCTCGATGGCATGTCTGCATCCTCCGCAGCTACATGATCCTTTCATCTTGCACTTATAAGCCATAATGCCTCACGGTAGTTGCACATCATAGCTATGTGTAATAAATCTTGGCTGAAGAAATTCAAAAGAGCTTTTTGGAAGGGATGTATTATTTACATGCCTAGTACACAATTTATAGACAACTGGAGGAGAAAAAGGAATTGTGAAGGAAAGGGAGGTTCTGATAATTTGTTATTTCTTTTTGCTTTCCAATACTTTTTGTAGTCACAACACCTCTAGGCTTGATTGTATACCCTTTTTCTTTTTTCTTTTTCTTTTTTTTTAATGGAATTACCAGAACGCAATCAACTAAAGCATCTGCAGTAGTCAGAAGATGCCATTTCTACACAGAATGGTAGAAGCGGTTAGCAGCAGCAAAGTTTCTAAGCCTTTAGGCTGGTCCTCAGCCAGGCAGGAAGAAAAAAAGATTCAATAAAACGTGATGACCACATGAAACTTACCTTGTACAACAAATCATAAGATGATGCAACTATTTCTTTTATCTTAATTAGGGTCTTTTCTAAGCTGAGTGCTGCAAAGCTTGCAGGTGGTGCAGTCTGCTTTTGTCTCTGTTGGTATTTAGAGGCTCTGCCATCCTCAATTGCTCTCAGGAAATCAAAATAAGAGAGCTTGCTGTCATGAATGCTGATTCCTAAGCTAAAAGAAAAGCACAGAAAGAGATATCAATGATTTTAAATAATTATCTCACTGTTGTCTGATTAATTATGATGATGCATTATTTGTACTTCAGCAGCACTTCAGGATATGCCTGGGCTGTCAGTGTGTGAGTAAGTCCTATTAGTGCCAGCCAAAACCCTTTCTCAAGTCTCAGACATCACTCCTATCGGTTAATGCAACCACACTCTCAGACAGATTTAGGCCAACTTCCAGATGCCCAAGAGTGCTTTAGCCTGGGTCAAAGTATCTAATGTTTTAGTCCATCAGCATTCACTTGATGTCTTGTAAGCACGACACAGGGTTTGGAGCCCGACTTGCTGGTGAGCATGATCGGCATGGGCAGAGAACATAAAGGCTATCAATCCTGTCCTAGGATCTTCTCTTCCTGTCACAGCGTGAATACTATCTAACAGACTCTGCTGAGGAGCAGATCTTCATTATTCTGGCACTTGTCTTCACTTGGTACTTGGCGAAGGAGCTTTGCAGAGCTGGTTAAGTCTGCCAGCATGTCATGATTATCACAATTGCTAGAGGAAGAAGCAGTCCCACAAGGAGTTGGGTCAAGCGTCACTCCACACAAGCTACTATACCCCCTACAGCTCGGTGCTGCACTGCATGGCTCTACCGGCTTTCGTCTCAACTCACTTGCTTTCTTTGCCCATGGTCAGGAAACCAAACTGGTTTCCATTCAAAGTTCTTCCTTATGCTTGTGATGGAAGGACATGGCTTCCTTCTGAAGGAAAGTATTTCATTCTGCTTGGTTTGGCAGGCAACTAGAAAATTATTTTACAGGCTCTTGGCCCTGATGTCAGAGTAAGTAGTTCAAAGGTTTTAACCTAAAGTGTGGGTAATAAAATGCCAAGTGATGGGCTCAGTCCAAAGTCTCTCCAGACTGCTCCCACAGCTTCTGAATTTCTGCTGTCAGCTGAAGCATCTGCTGGATCATGGGCACTGGGGAGCTTCATGTTCTGTCACATCAGAAATTCAGAGGGTTATGTTTCTGACTAGAGATAGCTCCAGGTAACAACCATGAATATATTTTTGCATCAAACATCAGCATGGGGAAAGACGAGATTTTGCATATGATTTGGGGATTTTTTTTGTAGAGGACTTTGTGACAAAACTAAATTAATTTTTATTCAAGAATGCTTTACCACAAAAAGACTGGAATTAAGGCAAGCTTTACATATGCAGAACAAATGCAAAACAAAAGTTATTTAGCATCAAAGATTAAAGTGGGATGAACAGCATTAACCATAACATGAAAAACTGCTTTCTCCCAATGTCCTCTGGCACGTTACCATTCAATGACACGGCACCTGGTACATTTGAGACAAATAAAAGGAAGGCGTCAGACCTGTTTAATGAGCCCGTAGAACTCATTACCACCCAGCAGTACAATAGCAGGGGCATGTTCTGCACTTGCTTACCCAGTCAGTATCCAGCGTAGTCAGTTTATGGAATTTCCTACCGTTGAAAGACAATCAAAGAGTCTCCAGGCTAGATTACACTTAGTTTTTTTGATATACAGTTACCAATTGCAGAGGGGTTTTTAATAGACTTCATTAATTTTATAGGCAGTTATCAGAACTGCAGATTCTCTGCATATATGTAATGGGTAGAAAATTCCTATGCTGCAGGGGAAAGGCTGGATTTTTCATGCTTGCATTAAGCTTTGTAATGAGAGTTACGGTCAAGGCAAGTTCTAGAGAGTCAAGTCTTGACAGCAAAGTTGGTCCCACTACCTAATAAATTTCTTGTGTAAGACTGAATTACTGTAATGTACTTTTATCATCTCTTTCACTGCGGACCAATGATTCAGCTACCAATCACTGGAATATCCAGTTACAAAAATGTCTAATTAATGGCAAGAGCCAGTAAAACAAAGAGGACGCTTTATAAAAGGCTGGAAAAGAAATTAACTATAGACCCAATATCTGCTAGTAAGAAAAAAATATTCAAGAGCCCTGATTTTGCATCTTGCAGCTGCACAGCACTCCCACATACTACCCCATGTCAAGCTGGCTGTAATACTGGAGACAGTGTGTGGAAAAGGAAATAATCAACACCATTTCAGCAGAGAAATAAATTGCCAAGTGGGCATTAAAATTTTAGTAATAAAACTAAATGCATATGCTAATCTACTCTGTATTATTTAGAAAAGACTGTTTTGGATCAAGAAAGGAATAATCTGCACAAAATTACAATGAATAGAGGTGTTTATCATCAAGAGGTCTTTGAGAAAGAAACAAGCAGCAGATTCTTATTAGAGTTTCAATTCATAAAAAAAGTTGATCATCCAATTAAAGGTGAACTGTGAAAAGACTTTGTTAATTTTATTCAAACAAAAAAGAGTCCAGTCTGGCAAGCTCTAGACCATAAAGCACAGTGCTGCCAAGAATATGATCCTTGGGGGGCTGGGAGTACCCCAACTACCCAGTGTTGAATCAGGTCCTTTGTGTTCTTCAGCCTCCACATAAAAAAAAAAATTCTTGCTCGTATTAACACACAACAACAAACACACAGCTTTTCATGGCAGCAGCATTTGAAAATTATTGCTGTTTTATAGCCTGTTATAATTCTGTTTCTGTTTGAAACAGGATCTCATTCACACATTTGCTCTATTAAATTGAAATAAATAAAGAAAACAAACTAGCAAACAAATACGCATATCCAGAGCATGCTGGTTTTATGTAAGAAGCCATTTCACTCTCATTACCTGCAAAGCCAGTAGCCTAGAAAGATTTTTCACTCATAGTTAGGCATGTGGGTACCGCCATTACTTTTAGCAAAGCTTCCTAGATGCTTAACACGAGTACAGGCTTACAGTCTTTGCTGGACATGACTAAAGAGACATTTAGCAGATAATTGTGCAAACCCATTTAGAAGATCATTGAACTGATTATAGTCAAGGAAATAGTCAAATTCTTGCAGTATCTTTTGCAGGCCACATACTGTTACGTAGCCATCTCTGTTTTTATCCATTTTTTGAAAAAACTTCCTGAAATCTTGGAAGTAATTCCTAAATTTATTCCTGAAAGACAGGCGGTTTTCTTTGTTAGTTAGATAAAAAGGACAAAAATAATTATACTAAATGGGGGTGGAAGGGCAAGGAAAGATCTTGAGCTTATTTGTGTGTGGAAAGCTCATATGATTTATCCAAAGCTTGATAATAAAATTGTAATGCCAAGTTATTTAAAATAAAATTTCATGTTTTCTCACCCCTTCCCATCCATCACACTATTTGATATTTAATTTGCACCCAGAATTGCATAGGTAAAACCTCCAATTCCAACTGAAAACAAGTTATGATTTACTGATTACTCTGTCCATTCAGAATTGCAGATACAAAATAAAATTCTCTATCTTTTAAAGTCTATCCCGATTTGAGGCTCCTGAAACTTTGATATAGCAGAAAGAACTATTTAACAAAGACAGTCAGACCTGAGCGAAACCAAAGTGTTGCAGGGCCTGATCCATGCTCAAGGGAAGACAGGCAGTGCTCCTGATTTATGTGGGTTTTGTGGCACTACCTGAAAACTTCCCTGAGATATTTACCATTTCCTGTATACCAGGAAACTCAGGCCTCAAAACACAGGTACTTCTTCCCACTTATTTTGTCCCTTACAGCTCAATGACACCATAAACTGCTTGATGAAACTTGGGAAAGCCAAGCAATATCCCTCCCATCCTCTTCATTCTCGTGTCACTACAAGCCTCTCTGCACATTGTGGCTCAAAAGGACCAGGCAGGCGCCAACGTCTCTTGTTATTGCTCGTCCTCAGTTCACTGCCAAAGTCACTTAAGATTAATGCAAGATCAAAATAGCTGTGAATTATGTCTTGATGGAGATTATCAGACATAAATAAATTATCTACATATATTTATCACTTAGAAGATGACACTTGTATGGAAGAAATAACAAGTTTTGAGTTGGGTTAACAACTACAGCTACACTCCATTTGCTTTGGGACAGCTCTTTTTGACAATGCTAGGCTACAGAGTGTGGAGTGTAAGTACTTCAGGGAATCAGCATTTGTGCTGTAAAAGGCTTATTACAGAGATAATGCAGTTCAAGATCATAACCCACATAATCAAGCATGATTCATTGCCTCATTCCTTGCTAAGTCTGTGTGTGGATCTAAGAGCTTAGGACAGTTCACTCCTTCCTGCTAAGCCACTGTCAAGGGGGCAGCATCCAATTCTTATGTGTGCTCCTTTGTACGAATACTCTATAGCCAGTTCTTTCAAAGTAAAGCATGTCAGTAAAGGACATGCTGAACTTTATACACTTTGTAGCAATGCTCAGTAAGTCCTCTCAGAGCTCTACAACGCCTCACGGATCTCCTCAGAAGCATCTGGTCTCAGCTCTAGCTATGGGTGCTATCTTTCCACTGACAGCATTGCAGAATCCTTGATTTTTCACTACTTTTCAAGAGGCTGTAAGCATTCTCAGTATTTTCCTTACAGAGATATTCCTCACCAATCGCTGCTTCTAAGAATCTGTCCTTCTGGAGTTTGTACTTCATTTTCCCCACAACTCTCAGAGCCCAGGAAAATACCTACTTTGCAAGATTTGAATTATAGTATGACTTTTGTAGGTTGTTAGCCATTTATTAGATGATCAAATATGATTATATGATTATATGATAACATTTTATCTTCCATTGTCATTTGGATGGGATTGGGAATACTGGGACTGTCTGCTCAATGAAGTTTCAGCTGGCAATAAACCACTTTTCAAAGATGTGTTCTCAAGTTTGGGACTCTTCTGAGCTCCACAACCTACTTCAGCTGTTGTTTAACAGTTTCAGCTCAGCTCACCCTTGAACTGAGGATTTCTGCATGGGACGAGACATGTTGTAATTGTCCCTTACCAATCACTTCAAGTCCTAGTTGCTGAATAGTGGACCATAGCTAGACAAAATTTCTGGGATGCCATGGCCAAAAAAATACAAAGTTAGTGCATGTTGTGATATGTTCTGATGTTAAATACTATCAAAATGCAATTTCAGAATAATGCCTAAATTGAGTATCTATTCAGATATATCTATTCGGATATATCCTCATATGCTCTGTTCTTTCATATTTTTGAACATGCTTATGAGTTCCCTGCATTTTGTGAAACACGTCAGGTTGTAATTCACTGACAACAACTGTTTTTGCTACCTCTAAAGTGTCTGCCAGTAAACATAGGAAACTCTCATTTAAATTGGTGATATGGGCTTGGTATGTAATGCCCTATCTAACCAAAAGGTGGCAATCTTCAGGATTTTCTGCATTGTGACTTCTGTATAAAACCCAGAAATCTCAGGTCACTTTCTTCAGAAATCAAATACTTTTAAAAATTAAATTTCCACGTGTTATGTCATTTTCTGTGCTGTTTTCAAGAATAGACTGATTAGGTGCTTTAGAAAGAATGTCTTTAATCTTCAATGAGTAAGTATTCAAAGAGTAAGTATTTCTCTAGCTTAAACTTTATTGTCAAACTACTAGTTAATCTTCCTTTCACCATGTCTGCAAAACGTTTTGTGCCAGCTCTGACCATAACAGATCGATAAACAAATACACAACCTTTCTTGTAACCATTTAGCAGCTCCAGAGCTCTCTCTGTTTGAGCCCAGAATCACAGTGTTCACATGGGCCTTAGAACCACAGCCCACAGATCTCTGTGGTGTATTTTTTCAATAAAATTGCCTGCAAGCCTACTTTTGACAACTTTGCCTGGCCTTCAGTGTCATATATGGTCTGAAGTTGTCTTTAGGAATGCCTTTGATTTGGGAACTCTTCCCAGAATGTCAGTCCTGACCATGTATTTCATGCAGTGACTCAAAAGCTGCTTGTTCAGATTGCCAGGCTGGATAGGAGCTCTCCTGCAGTATTCACCAACAGGCTTCTGGACACCTTATCTTTGTGGACAGCATATTTGTAATAGTCCTTTTGTGTCTTGCTTTCAGTTAATCTTTTCTGTTATTTCTCTGTCCTTCCGTTTGTGTTTCTGTCTAATCCTACTTCTCAGGGCCTCTTGGGTGTTTCTACTATCTAAAATAGATACTGGGCACCTCTTGTATCTATTCTAGCAGCCACGGTTGCTTCAAGTGAATGGCCTTTCTTACGCTTCTCAATAACAAATTCTTACTCAAAAGAAAGTCTGTTAAAGGATAATTTCCTCTGTGCACTAAAAGTGTATGGTATTGAACTCCTCTCATGCAAGGACTTCTGCTTGCATCCAGTACAGGAATAGAAACTTGTACAAAAGCTTATATACATTTGCATGAAGATATGCAATCTTTTTCCTGGAAATATCCTCTCTAGGAAACTGTCTATCCTGAAACATATATTTAGCCTCAATGGTTGTAAAGACCATCTCAGTGACTTGTCTTTTTTTTGTTACTGTTGCTAAGTGGCTCTTCCTTTTTCAAGCTTCTCCCCATTATTCCTACACAATCTGGCTCCTTTATAAATTTTCCATGTCACAGCCAGAGGAACGTTTGCAGTAGCATAGGCTGTTGGGAGAATACAATTTTGTAAGATGCATCTAGTTTACCTCTGACAAAGACTTCTAGGGACTGATCTCCTGCGTTTCTAGTTGCTTCATCAGATTCGCTACTTTAATCAAGCCCAGGGACAGGCATATATTTAGATCCAATATTAGCCTGTGGTGCCCATAAACTTAAACATAAGTTACTGTTTTTATCTTTTCAGTTTAAGTTCATATAATCCTTCACTAGGAATTTGATTTTTAGTACACACCCTCGGTTTTAATAGTCTTTCTTTGTATGCAGAGATGTTCGATTCAAAATTTTTATAGTGTTTTTTACGTAACATTGGCTGGGCACTTTCAAATTTAAAAGTGTTTATCCTTAGACTGCAGCTCCTTTTTGCATCTTTTACAGAGAATACCTTTGTGGTATTTCAATGTACTTTTGGTTTGCACACCATCATATAGATTTGGGGTGTGTCTTAGGTGTACCATTTTGCTGCTTCTTTTCCAGTTGCAAGACCTTGCAAAATAATAATAATAGCTTATGTTATAGCTGCTGCAGTACTTCCAAACTCCTGGACATAATTTAAATCTGTGAATTTTCCTATATCTCATTTTTGCAACTTCTTGCAGGTAGCTCTGAAGAGTCTCTTCAAAGCTGTTTTCCACTTCCAATAGCCAGCACATTCTGTATCTCTTCTGATACCTTCATATTGCCCCTTACGTGGGGCCAAGCTTGCGGAAAGACATTTCCCCAACTGTAGATCTTGGCTTCCTGGTGTAGTTTCTGTGGCTTTGATCTATGATTCCAAACCCTATCAGATCCCTTAGAATACATCTCCCCAAATGCCATATTACTTGACCAAATCCTTATTCTAAGATCAACTAAAAATTCTTCAGAGGATTCCTCTTTGCATTCTTATATAAAATGTGTGTCTTTCAATAATTTAACTTTCCTCAGGAGTGCAATGTTCCTTCAACCTGCTTTCTATAGCTGCATGGTTTGCCCTTACACTCTGGCTTGGCTTCATACCATGAAAAACACTGATAACTCCTATGCGTTCAATATTTCAGAAAATAGCTGTGAGCTTCCTTCTGATGAATCTATACTACACTGTACAGCAGTTTCAAAGCATCGTGTGAATCTTTTCAAGGAGCCTGCAACACTGCCAATGTGTTTTAGAGTTTCTAAAAGCCTCTAAAAAGCTATCACCTTTTCTCTCACTTTCAAATCTCTTTTTTTTTTTTTAAATAGTTAATTCCTGCCCCTGTTCCCATGCGGTATTTGCATCGCACTCAAAGCAAGAGAGTCACACTGGCAAGCAGGGTGCAGCAGCCTAAAAGTCAAAAACAACTGACTTCCCTTAGGACATTTTGTAAATTCACTTTGTAAATTCAATCATCTCGTCCAGCCCCAGAAGACTATACCATATAGCCCTGCTTCCTCCACATTGTAAGGGTGTGCTTTAAAGGATATGATTATGCCATTTCTGCGGAAAAATTCTGGAATTCTTTACCGTTATACGTTCCTTCAGTGCTCTTCTGTTAAATGCTAGCTCTTCATCGCTATTATATTCTTGCCAATGAGGGGATGAGGTAAAATCAACACAGTTTGAGAAACATATTTTTAGAAAATTGAAGCAGGCAACATTTTTGGATTGAATAAAGGTTTTCAAACAGTAATTATTCCACTTGCAGCAGTAAATATGTGCACGGAGTATATGAGGTTTTAAACCATAGTTCAAGATACATTGCCAAAAAAGTATTTTCTTGCAAATGCTTTGTATTTCTCTTGAAGAGCTGGAAAGCCACTGTTCACTGTCTGTTTCTAATTTGGGTTATTTGTTCCTGTGAGTTTCAACAGAAAGAAAGAAATGGGAAAAAAAAAAAAGGGCTCAGCACTATGTTTTGAATTTTAAGATGTCCGGAGCCTTTGTCTGCTTTACAGTGTGTAATCACAGAGCACCCAAACTCCTCCAAAGGCTCGTAGTCCCTGCGGAAAGCCAGGAGGAAGGACCTGGATACAGCCACTGTGTGGATGGTAAAGGGAGAGCTTGAGTACGACCACACAAGGGGCTGCGGGTTCTGCTCCTGGTTGTCCTAAAGTGGATCCCAGAAATTCAGCCTTCGCAGACTGCCTCCTCCAGGGCAGAATGTGACAGGGGAAAGCAACCGCTTTCCCAGCTCAGTGAGAACAACGTGGGCGCTGAGAGGCATGTGCATGATCAGGGTCACGTTTTGTAGCCACTACATCCTCTCTCCTGTCCAAGAAGAGATCTCCTTGCACTGACTTTTTCTGGCAGAACCGCACAGTGCCTATTTCTGCTTCCTGTGTCTCATGTCTTTTCTCCTTCTGGAGGGAAAGGCAGACAGTCCACTGGCCTTCAGAGTCACCACGCACATGGATTTCATTCTTCACACAATGACTCTGGCTGAAGACTCATTTACAGCTTTCAAAGGCCCTGTGTGAAATTTGAGGAGTTCAGAGGCCTGGATTCTCCCCTTGCACTTCTGGCTTTCCAGAAGAGAAAAAAATACTCAGGTCCTGCTACTCCAGGACCATTCCACTGGCCAGGAATTGGATTATAAAGAGCGGGAAACAAGTAGGGAATTTCCAGTGGAATTGAAAGGTGAGAATATTTGATAAAAAGACCACAGAGTTTTGCAGACCACAAGCAATAAAGCTGGGAGGCTTATTCCCCGAAGAAAGCACTGACTCCAAATTTGAAAAGACTAAGAACAAAATGGGATATTTTTAAATATGCAAAGAAAGAGGAAAAGCCAGAATAGTAACAATAACATCTTTTGCAAAAAGGATATGAAAATGTTGCCTGCAGGCATACACTAAACCTTTTCATAGCCCAGGATGAGACAGCCCTGGTTTAGGGGGCAGAATTTCCCATTTCCATCTCTTAGAAGGCTGTTTCACCTTCACCAGAAATAACCTGACAGTGCATAACACCAGATACTAAATGAGATGGTCTCTGATCCAGTCTGCCAATTCCTGTTTTCCTCCCAATGATGATTAAGCGATCACTATGCACCGTACTATGTATTTGTATATGCATGGGTATATAGTTGTTATCATGGTATGGTTTCAAAACTAAACACCTCTAAATTATTATTATTATTAACCTCATGTGTCTTCCTCATTGATTGAATTACTCCCCACTGCCTCGGGATGAGTATCTGCATCTTTGGGCCATGCTGCATAATTTCTGCTTGCAGCACAGCTTTTCCCCTACTCGCAGTATTCTTTATTAGTTACAGCATTGCAGGTAGGGCCAGATTGCACTTGGGCTTCCACTAATGGTACGAAACAATGACAAATGCAGTGGAAGAGCTCAGCATGAGACAGCTAGGGCCCAAGCTTCACCTCGGCCAGACACAAATACTGTAATAACCAACACCTGCAGCACATTGTCTGCTTAACCATCTCTGTTGGATATTATACAGTTTTTTCACAGGTGGAACATTTGTTGATACCTGCATGTGTCATGAGGGCAGACTATAGCACAGGAAGCTGCACTGCATGTAGGAGAGTGTGATGCTGGACAGAAAGGAGAGTTTTGGCCTGGATTCCTTCATATTATTTGAGACACCAAAAATAGCATTAAAAAAAAGGATAAAAAGCCCAAGGTCTTTGCTTAGAGGCTTCTCTTTTTTTGTTTTAATTTTTTTTTGTCTAATGATTTCTGAGGGTTACTCTTTACCTGCAAGAGATAGTTTCTCCTCTTTGTTCATAGGTGTAACACCTGGATCAACAATGTCATGGGGAATTCAAATTATTATTATTATTATTATTATTAATTTATTAGCTCCTACAACATCTAGATACTTTCTAAGCACAAAAAAAGTGACTCTGTGCGCTTGGCGGGTATATATTTGTGCACTGCCTTGCTCCTGAGGGTTTATACTCATTAAACCTGCTACCCACCCCCACACAAAAAAACCCAAAAAATTCAATTCTGAAAAGGAGAGAAATCATGAGCAGAAAACATGATAAGCACCCAAGCGGTATCTGGCCACAACCTGGGATATAAAGGTTTAGTAGCAGTGCAATGGGGCAGCGGATTCTCCTGCTGCCTCATTCTGTTGGTGGGTTTGGGAATCCTACGACCAGCAGCTGACATCGCTAGGGCAAGCACGGACCGTTACACTTCACTCCGAGTAGGATATCGTGTTGTCATTTGTTTGTCAAATGCTCTTCTGGGGAGCAATGACCTATTAACTCTGCGAGTGTTGATTTTGTTTGAGGCAGACTCCTCTCGCTTGGGGACCAGAGTTTTATTTCTCTTGGGGTTCATCCTTGTTGTGGTTGGTTTTTTTGCTGCTTCTGCTGAGGCATTTACTGACATTTTAAGTAGCTGTTACAGGGCTGCGAAACCAACCGTGATTGCTACTTTGCTCTCATCCATGGGGCAGGATAGGATATGGGACCAAAGTGTCCCATATGTCCAGTCACTGCAGCTGCAATGAGAGCCCCTGCTGATCATCATCGGGTAGGTCTAAGCCTACGGTGCCAGGAGCAGCCTGAGAAGGAGAGAACTGCAGGGTGACCAAACCACACTCACTCAGTCTGAGCTGATGGCAGTGGAACCACAGGCTGTGTCTATAGCAATAAACATCTCTGCTGGTGAACCTTCCCTGTTGCTGCAAGAGAGTAGCTGCCTGCACACTCTGTGTTAGGTAGAAGAAAGTCTTTGAAGCCTTCTTGTCCCTCAGCTGTGCTGGGAGTGATCAGGGATAACATTAATTGACCAAAGTGCAGAGGCCAAAGTGCAACAAGGTTTGTACTGGCAGTTTAACAGCATAGATGATCATGTTACAGCAGCTGGGAATGTTTGTGATACACTGACTTACCAATAAAGTTGCTTCTATAAAATGAGTAATATACAGCTGTGGAGAATATTTTCACAATGCTTGCTGAGCTAGGATTATCTCCAGCAAAATGTGGGGAATAACACTATGTATAAAATTTGTCCACCTTCTAAGATTCTTCTTCAGAGACTTTTTTTGTAAAATAACATTTGTATAGTGCATACTGTCATCTTAACAAACTAAACACAAACACAGAAAGTTATATGCTAAGCTCATAAATAACTTACTTGATCTGCTTTTTCACTTCATTTACATGCAGAGCTTTAGTTTGCTGTTTCTGTTGCTCTTCCAGCTTTGAATGCTTTTTTTGCTGATTATTATAATGTGCTTTTAAGTGTGCATGGTTGTCTTCTGTGATATGTTTGCCGAGCCCTGTGTCAGCGGGTGCAAACTCTATCCCCAGCTTCTGCAAAAATTCTTGGTGAGTAAGATATCCTTTTGCATCTGTATCATACCTTGAAAAAGAAATGCTCCTTTTAAATATTCATGTACTCCTCAGAGAGAGGCATTACGGATGTCCCTAAGTGACTTAGCAGCTTAAATCTCATGGCCTGCCTTCCTTATAGAGGTGCCATACCACACAGAGAATGAGCGAGTGACTTTATATGAGACTCACAAGGTAGGATGTAAGCTTCATAATCACACAGTTGTTTTTGAAAATTCTACCTTGAGGAACAAATTGTCAGGAGTGTTTTCTGGTTCTCAGTACAGCTGCTTTGCAGGATCTGACTTGAGACAAAGAGCATCTGACTTCTGAAACTTCAGCCCGAAATGTCTCAAATGGGTCACACATATCTGAGATGCTCAGAATTGTAATAACCCTTCAGCAGCGCGTGCTTAACTTCATAAGCATTTTTCATATTTTCTTAGGTATGAACATTTCCATAGGATTGTCCCCTGCAGTCTCTCGCACTGCTAGTGCTCCGATGCATGGTAATGCCTAATTTAGCCTCAGCTTCTCTCTAATTCCTTTATTCAACTTACAGATGTATCAGGCACGAAAGAGATTTTATCTATTCTGTAAAAGCAGTGGCTTATGGGAGTGAAACTGTGCAGCAGATGACTGCATGAAAAGGCGACTCTTCAGTGTGCCATGGCATCCATAAGGAATAAGAATGGAAAGTAAAATCTAATGGAGTAGAAAATAATTCAGAGATGAATCAGTGCTAGTAAAAAAAAAACATATAGTTAATGCAGTTTGAAGCCACAATGCAATACACTTGGGTTACTTATGTTGGGGAGAGTGATTATTTTTTTAAATAAACCTGTAATGAAGTTTTTTATATAATGTCACATATAGCTGACATCTATGCCTTTTCAAAGACAGTTTATTGCACAGTTCCTCTTAGCTGTGAGCAGACAAGTATTTCCCCTCCACTTCAGAACAAGTTACTCGCCTATAAAAACATTTCATGGTATTACTTGCCATCTTTACACAGCATGAAATTACCTTCCTTTCTTTTGTTATGTATTTGGTATGTAGCATTTTTCTTTTGACTGAATCACTTCTATTTAGGTTGAGAATGTTGCAAGCCAATTTCGTGCTCTGAAAAGGAGGTAGCACTGACTTCAGAGAGACACTTTGTGGAGCACCTTGATGGAAGCTCCGTGTGCATTCCCCAGCGGACCTGAGACACTTGGAGCTGACTTTTCACCCACAGCAAACTGAGGTAGGCATTTGTGTATATAAACTAAATCGATGAAAAACAAGTTAATTTAACTTGCAACCCAAAGTGCCATCCAAGATGAACACATATATTGAATTAAAGGAAACCGGAATACCCAAATGAATGGAAAAACTGTCTTTAAATTCACTGGAAACTGATGGATCTAATTGTATTCTTGACTTTAGTATGATACAACGTAGCCTTGTGTAACACATTGCCATGATTTAAGGTCACATTCATAACAAAAGAAAAGTTTTCTTGGGCAATGTAATCTATTGTAATTCACTGCACTGCCAAAGGCTGTGTAATCCTATAAAAGACACATTACTGTAAGAGCTAAACATTTAGAGTTGTCATACCTTGCCCAAAGCTTCTTAAATTCTTCTGGGGTGACTGGAATGCCAAATCTGAACAAAACTTTTTTTAAATCCTCAGGCCATATAATGCCGTTTCCTTCACTGTCATATTCCTGAAAACTCTGGAATGTGAAAGAAATCTCTAGCAAGAACCAACAAGTTTGACAAAACATTTCATCTCCCTATAAGCTTAATGAATAATATCAATTGAGAAAGAAACGGATAAGTCTGAATTTCCTTAATTTCTTTTTTCATTTGATTTTTAGTTTTTCCCACTTTCTACTCTGATGTGCAACTCTCAAAAACATTTCCTGATGGACTGGCTCTGTGTAGAAAGTCTCTTATTGATGGTAAATACACAGATATAAACACTAAAATTATACATCCATGTATGGAAATTGCTACTGCTGAAGTGCACCAATGGAAGATGAAAACAGTTAATGTACCTAGGATTTTGCTTTTTTGTTTTTTTTTCTTTGTCTTTTACACCACTCATCTTGCAAGCTCAGACCATAAGAATTATTATCTCACACAAACATTCAATTAAAATCAAGCTTCATTTTTTCCATATGCTGCTTTGTTCTCCAGCTATTGCAACTATTTAACTGTTAAAAACATATTGGAATTAATTTTCATGGATAGTTTTATGAAAAGTCTCTATGAACGGTCACCTTAATCAAGGCTTCCCTTTGTTGGGCAACACTAGGTATTTGTGTATGGCACCTAGTCAAATGGGCCTTAGATAAGGCCGATTACTACTCTTATAATAGAACCATTAAGTAAAATCAACAATAGTAAAATATAAAGAAAGTTTCAGAAACAACTATAATATCACTAGTATATAAACTATAATAGCAATACTATATAATTAACACTACCAAAATCGAACATTATTCAAAGTGATGTTTTTTTTAAATTCACATATAAAGTTTTTATGATTAATGAGCTGTTTTGCAAGGATCTTTTTGAATATTTATAGAATCTGAAGATCAACATTGCATAATGTTCTGAAATATATTAGCGCAGTTTTATTTATTTAAAGAAAACATTCTTCTTACCCTTGCTAGGTCATGCCATCTGGTTCTTGCTTTGATAACAAGGTAGTAATGAGCCTGATCACAAGCTAGCTCTGCATCCGTTATCATCTGTTTTTTTCTCAGAAAAGAAAAAAAAAATAAAGTAATAACTAACTATGCTATACGTTAGTGGAATCTTTAATCTCCAGAAGTTTCCTTTCCTTTTGTTGTTCTTCATGGCAGCAGTGATTTCACTTCCTAGTTTCTAAGATACACATTAAAGACTGTTACTTCACATCTGTGTAAACTTAATTCTTTAAATACTGCCTTATTTCCCTAGCTGCAGGTTAGCGAAGATGTTTTAAATTTTGTAATTCCCTATTTATTTTCAAACCAATGTTGTTCAATTCTCCCTCAAACTCAAGAGACGGCATGATCATTTCTACACATAGAAGGAAACATTAATTAGCTCAGAAACAATTATATCCTGGAGCGACTCCAGGAAGATTATCCTTGATTTACTTCAATAACTTAGATCAAAACTGTCTTTGTGCATTAATAAGACCTAGCTGGTAATTCTGGGGAGCAAGACCCAGATTTGCAAGCAAGCTCAGCCACTGCTTAGCATGGCAAGCACTGAACTTTTGAGGGCCTGGTGCTTCTGGGGGAGTCCAAGTATGGAGGGATTAACAGGTTCCTCAGAAACAGGATCCAGCAAAGTTATTGCACGGTGCAGAGAGCTGACTGTATCAATGAGCTACGCAAAAACACACTTGACTGGGTTCTGGAGGGAAGGCATCTTATATGTCGCCATTCTCTGAAATAGTGCACCTTCCTCTGTGTTACAAGAGCCCTTCTTTTGGAGTCCAAAGTATCTTTTTCAGATAGAAAACTGAGGAGTGGCTGCTCATTTCTCTTCATGCACAGCTGTCCATCTCACACTACTTCCTAGCACCAGTTTCTCCTCTTGCTGTCGCTTTATAAGAAAGTGCTGAAGACATACGTCTTCTGTGCCCAGTTCAGAGGCTTTCTTGCACAGCACAGATCAAGATCTCAAACGAGAAGCAACAGAATATTTAAGCTGCAGACCATGTTAGATACAATCATTACATCCCGCCTAATCTTTGAGTTCTCATGCCATGTGCAGAACCAGAACTTGGGTCCTGCAAAATGAGCTACGTCTGAACTTCCAGAGCTCCAGGCCTCAACAGCTTATGCCTATGGCTCACTTTGGATTTAGAAAAATAGATGGCACATTTAGGCATACTAGGTGCCCAGGAACCTTCGGATTCTCAGAGCTTCCCCACTCCTGCTATCTGGGAGCAGTCTCCATAAACCTAAACTATTGACCATTTAAAATGGTGTAAGGACTTGGCTGGGAAGCTGCAAGCAATCTCAGGGCTTTCAATCATTATATTTTCATTGTTAGATTTCTAAAATAGTAACAGTTTTGAAACTGAGAATATTTTGGAGCTAAATCCAAAATGAAACAGAAGAGAGAGCAAGACATTAATTCATCTCAGATTTCAACTGTTAGCAAGACCAAGTGATGATCATGAGTTTTCTTTCTTGTTTTAGACTGATGTCCTTGATTCACTCAGTTGCCCAATTCAGGCAAAAATGAAAAACAAACCAAGCAGATAAATATTACTAGCATCTGAGCCAACAGTAACACAGTAACAGACAAATAAAAACTGGGAAATAAGCCTATGTGTATATATCACATCCTCGTTGCTTCAGCAGAGATGAGTTGCTGATCACCAGCTTTTTCAGTTCTGCTGAATCTTGTCATTATTTTCTATCAATTTATCTGTTTGCGCAGTCAAACATAGTTTCACACTGAGTTTTCAGAATAATTTTTTATTGCCCAAGCGCTATTTATCATTAAGAAACACTTAGGCTTTAAATTCCAGACATTTTAGACAATATCACTTCTCAGAGTAAAGGAGCCTGCTGCCATATTTTCACTATCTGCCATTCACTCTACAGCACCCCAGCATTTCTGCACACCTGACCTGGTCTTGCCTATCTGCAGTACTTCGGTGCTAAAAGGAGTTGGGCTGTGTAATGCCCAGGCTACTCTACTGCACACTGACAACGAGACCAGTTTCAGAATTGACAGGGACTGTGGCAGGCAGGTAACACCCTCAATCCCAAATGACATCTCCAAACTGTGTGTCCAATTCTGCATATTCAAGAGATCCAGCTATGTTTTTCAGTTTGAGCTCTAAGGCTCTAATTCAGGTATCAGTATATGTTTTAATCTCACAGATTTGAACAGTACCCAGAGTTTATTACTCATTTTAACTGAAGGCTGGACTCAGTATTTTATTTGAGTACTGTATCATTGATAACTTTTCAGAGCTGCTTACCTTCAGTTTGATAAAGACATGTTTTAATCTTTTTTTTTCAATCATACCTAACACCAGCTTTCATATAGTATATTCTTTTTTATAAACACATCAGTTTCATGTAAGTACTACACAACTTTTTCTCTTACTTGTGAGGTGGGATCAGCCAAGGAGGTATGTCCTTAGTTTCTTGGGTTTCAAACAGTTGACAAAATTCTTTGTAATTTAACGTGGAGGTCAGGTTCATTCTCAACATGCCAAGCAGGCGCAAGAACTCCTCATCTCTAAGGCTAAACAGAAAGCTGTCCAAGAGGTGTCGAAAGTCAAGCATGTTGATGACACCATCACGGTTAGTGTCTGCGCTACGGAAGGCAGAATAGGTGTCCTAACAAGGAACATTTAATTAAATGTATTCACCAGGTCGAGTACACATTTTAAAATTTAAATAACAAAATGTTTGCTCTGGGCTTGTTTTGACAATAGGCAAATACTTTAAGGGAATTTCATAATACAAAGCATTTATAGTACCTTACTAAACAATGTCAAACTACTACTATCGCCAGTATATGATAATTTGCAGTAAAGCACAGGTCTATTACTTTCATCTCATGGATGTACAGAATGAGCAAAGCAGAGACCATCAAGAAGCCAGCCCCTATGCAAATCTGCAAATTGGCCTCCACCTCTTCTCAGTCCTGTATTGAGGAATAGAAGCCATTTCTGCCCTCTGTCTTAAACATTATTGGGAAACGTGTTATGAAGAGAGGCTTAACAGCAATTAGTGTTGCAGCTTCTCCCATTAAAATAGACATAAAAAGTCCACACTCCTTTAAGAATGGTGAAGATGTTCAAAAATCACTTGTTAATGTGACCAGCTTTGCTGGAGGTGTCCAAGCTGGTTTGAAGAGAGGATCCCTTTCCTGATGCTGCTCTTTCCCATTCTCCCAGGGAACAGGAAGGGAATGAACTGAGCAGAAGGCAAATGCCTGCAGCTTCTTTCCTTTTGCTAAATGTGACCTCCCTTGCTCTATGTATATCCACGGTGGGATTTCAAGGAGTATATTTTAATGGTAATTACAGAAAACAATAACCAAAAAAAAAAGAGGAGCTCTTCTTGACAAGACTGCACTTGTGTTCATAGAGTATTCTGTGAAGGAGCAGTGCAGAGATATTCTATATTAACTGCAAAGTCTGTAAAAGCTATGCTCACAAAATAGTGGGAAAAAATAGCTCAGCTTTTAATTTCTTGGCAAACACTGCAGCAAAGGCAGTTAGTTAGAAAAAAACAGTCTTTGCCCTGTAAAATGAATGTGTTTCAACTGGACTTTTTTGAGCCAACAGAAAACAGGAAACTCGTCATAATTTTCAGAGTCACTTTTCTGACAGCTCTCCCAAATCAACTTTAAAACAAATATTTGTATCACAATAACAACTAGCTACCCTGCCAAAAGCAAACCGTAGCTCAATGTATTTACCCCATACACTTCCATCAACTTATCATTAAGCTGACTGAGACATTCTTCAGCAGTCATGTAGTGATATTCAGCACTATTTCCTCCCTGTTTTGGGCTGTGACATAATGCAGCTCCTGGCCCATGCAGTTTGGCATCTGGAATAAAGAAATCAAAGCAGAGCGAGCATTGAAATAATGATATTAAACATATCTGATAAACAGCACAGTAAGACCATATAAACAAACCAAGAAACCTGCAATCATGATTTTTACAGCCCAAACATGACAAAGCGCAACAGTTGTACATAGTATTAGATGTGTCCATCTGATTTCCAGAACTGCCTCAGCTGCTATGCTGCTTCCCAATACACGGTGAAAGAAGCCTGTAGAGGGTCATCTTGCGTGAAGAAAGCAGAGCTAAGACTTCGCCTCTTCCTTTTGCCTTCTCTGGTTCCTGGTTGTTTTGAGGAAGCAGGATATTAGACTGGAGGAGGAGGAAATGAATACTAAGCAAGTGGTGATTTGCTGTTCTATCACTTATTTCTTTGAGGAAATACTGTGCAGCTCCTGAGGACCAGAGCACCAGAGGAATTAGTCACATCTTTGTGTAGCAAAACTGCTGCCTGCTAGACCATCCCCCCCAGAGAAATTCACGTGTAGCTAAACCCTCCACTGTTTTGAATCAACACAAGGAATTTCAGGAGCTCTCCCATCACAACACTGCTTATTTTCCAGCTCACCTACATGGTGTCACGTCGATACTATTTTGCCTGATGTTCAGGTCTGGCAAGACTCAGTCTTGCACAAGCGGCAGCTTCGTGTTGTTACAACTTTAACTTTTATTATCTCACAGCCCAGTAGGATGAAGAAAGGGAGACAGACAGCTTCTCAGCAGGACACACAACATGTACTTCCAGTCCTGAAGGACTAAGGTATTTTTAGGCAACAGAAAAGCTATTTTGGTCACTGTTTGACATTTCTTTTTTTTTTCTGCTCGCTGTGCTGTGACACTCTAGGTAACTATTTTACCTTGCTTTTGGGGAAAAGGAGACCAAATAACACCTTTTAAAGTCTCTTCCACATTTTAGAGTTTTTCTGCATTGTATGAGCCATATAGAAAATATATGGAAAAAACAGAATTGTCACTGAGCAGCAAGCAAAAAGGATTTTCTGGGAATGTGCTCTTCATACCTTCCTGCTACATCCCACCATCCCCTCTCACAAGGACATCAATACTGCTCATTCATATGTTTGCATAGCTGAAGGCTATTTGGAAAGGTATTTTAAAAAAGCCTTTTAAAAGGGTGTCAAAATCTGTATGTGTATTTGCTGGGGTCAATTCAGACAACAGTTCACCAAGAAAGACACTAATCCCAAAGAGCTTAGCCAGATAAGCACCTAAGTGGTTCACATAGATGAAGCTATAGCAAGATCACACTGCTACTATACTTCACCTCTCAAACCTTTGGGTGAGAAGAAGATATCAGCACTAGTAATTCACCCAGTCGATAAAATGTCATCATTTTGTAGGCACGGTTTCCTTCTTATGTTCAGCAAATTTCTAGTATGTATGTTTTGCAATAACTTTAATCAATTCATCTCAGATTTTTAAAGTGGGAGAAACTCTCAAAGAAAAATGCACACATTAACATTTCACTACACCCTACTCCTGACTGACTGGAAAAGTCCTAAGTTAACAGACCTTTCTAAAGGAATTCATTCATAGAAGTGAAGACAGAAATAACTTACACATAACAAAAGCCTGTACTCCAGAGACACCACTAAACTGCATTTTCTCTGTCCTTTTCTGTTTCTTATGATTTTACCCTGCAACCCTCCTCCCCACAACTACACACTATCCATCCCTTTTTCAATTCCTTTTTCAGCTGAGGCCTAGTCAGGAATCTTTTACTCGTCTTCCCACTAAAGTATATGAGAGAGAATCAGGTCTCTCTACCTACACTGTGACTACAGCCCATGGGTTCAGAGCTTCTCTTCCTCCTTCCCCTGCAATTAACCATGATCACTGGAAAATAAGTCTTTTTTTTTATTTTTCATTGCCTCCTGCGTTTTGAGCCTTATGTTAAATGTGGGTTACAGCTTCTTTTATTTTACAACTGTGAGCTTTCAGGTAACCTCCTGAAAGAAAAGCTGTGATTCTCAAGACTGTTGAAAGGAAAAGCTTTAAATACAGACAAAGCACTTCTGATTCTTGAATTAAATCAAAGTGTTGATGCACTTTTACCACAATTAACATGTTTCAAGCATCTTACACTAGACTACTGCATGAAAATATTTGGATGGACAAATGATTAGCTGACCATACTCACATACTTCTAAACACTTGGCCTCAATGAAGAAAAACCTGAATATTTCATCAGCCCTGCCACAAGTGAGCTCTCCCCGTTTCTCAGGTCTAAGGAGTATTATTGACAGTAGAAAATAGTAGAAACTGTATGGGAAAAGTAAATGGGCACTGCTGAGAAAAATAACGAAGAGACAGATAATACAGAAATTAAAACTCGCCTTCTTAAAGTCAACAGCAAAACTTCCATTGACTTCTGTGGCATCAGAATTTTATCCAGAAAATCTAGATTTAAAGGATAAAATAAATGAGAAATGAATAATTATTTACTAGACTCAACTTCCACAGAAGTGTTCCAGCATAAGAAAATGAGTTCAGATTCGATTACTTTCAAAGAGTCAAAATTTGGAACTCTCACACTGTTGTGAAATTGGTGCAATCACTGATGGAGGAAAGCAAGCAGCTAAAGTGAAACAATATGCTCCCATATTGCAGAGATACTCCTCTGGGTTGCATTCCTCAGAATCAGTAGATCAGTGAAGACCACATCCTCATCATGTGTGGGGACAATGTACCTGCGTCTACACAATCTCACTGGGATGCTTCATATGCTAGTAAAACTGTTTCTTTATAGACAACCGCATTTCAGCACCCTCTAGTAGCAAACTCCCTTAACAGCTTTAACATTCAAAAGCGATACTTTAAATTAAAACCATAAACCAGTAAGTAACCGGATCACATCACAGATCTCTAGTTGCATATGCTGCTCCTAAAGCCTATCACTAAAGGCTTAATAATGGATCTGTAGTACCTGAAAGGATTAGTTACTGTTTCCTGACATTTTAGATGATAGAAAAAAAAGATCTTGTTGCGTAACACTACTTTAACAACGTTCCCAGCAGAACTTGGGATAAAATCCAAGCCCAAGACTGTGAACAAGAGTAAGAAATACTTGCAAGAAGGACCTACATAAGCACAGAAACCAGTTCATTACTTGCTGCAGTCTAGTAGTGATAACTCCATCACACCTTTACTGGTCTTTACTTAGTCCATGGGCCACATACCCCAGTTTCCCTCAAGCCCTGGGTTAGATATGCAGCTGGTTAACTAGACCAAGAATCAAAGAACTCCAGAGAGAAAGGCCATCAGTGTTCTAAGACTCATACCACTGATCTCTTCCTAATTTCTCCAATAGCCTTTCCTTGAAGAGGAAGTTAAACATTTTCTAGGAAAGGTGTGTTTTATGTTGTGTTGCTGTTAGAGTTCATTTACCTTCAAATATTGCCACAAAATCCAGATAACTCAACCCTCCATCTGGGAATCCTAACTTTTCTGTCAGCAGATTAAATTGATTGTCATCCATCGGCATACCATGGTCTTCCAAGATCTGTCAGAAGAGAAATAAAATAAGATATAGATGTGCCTATTTTGTTGCTTAATACACCACCATTTTGAATAGTAAATATTTGGGGGTTTTATCCCATAGCTCACCTTGAAATCACTGTAGAAATCTCTCTTCCTTACATATACAGTAAACCACTTTCACGTAGATCTATTCCATATAACTTCAATTCTATATAGAATTGAATTGAATTTGCAGAGAGCAAAATTTGACTATATCTTTAAGACTGACATTGTAAGCAAAAGCACTGAGTGCCAGACTAAGATTAGCTTCACCTGGAAAGTGGAAAGCACCAGAAGTGATCACTTCAGCTCATTTGTCAGACTGAGGAAATTTGTTTTTTGTAGAATTTGCTAACCCTTTTTTGCTGATTCTACAGAACCATCACAACTGATTCTTGGACAAAGAAAGCTGCAAAGTGGGCTCAGGCCCCTGAGCCATGTATAGCTACAGTGAAGCAGAAAGTAGGATTTCTTCTGGATGCTGCTCTTCAAAGCAGATCTGGCACTGCATTTGATGTAATCCATTTTGCAGGGATCTGTCAGACCATTCTGCCTCGGTCATCTTGAAGATCTGTCCCAACCATAACGATTCTATGATTCCCAGGACCCATTCTGGGGACCTCTGTCTCCATCGAACGGGTATGATATTCTGGAGGAGTAGCAGCCAGCTACATCCTCCTCTTGTTTTACCTTCCAGTTGTCTGTAGAGCTGTTTTGTGCGTTCCTTCTCCCACCTCCTGGTTCCCTGAATAGATCTTTTTGCAGCCCCTTCATTCCCTTCAGCTGCTTTGTAATCCTGATTTGGGCATAACCTTTAAAACTCTCCTCACAGCTCTGTTCTGTCTTTCCAAGTGTTTCTACAGCAATTACTTTTGCTATTATATTTTAGTTAATTGTATAGATTAAAGGAAAAAAAATTCATTAAATCGATGAACAGTATAAGGAGTGTTAAAAAAAGGAAGAGAATAATTAGCAAATTATCATTCTTTTCAATTTAATGTAAAGCTTCTGGATAAGCAAGCACATTTTATGTGCAGCTGAACAAGTATTTACCCTCAGATCAAATACTTAATAGTGGTGATAAGGAGATCTGGCCATACAAATCCAGTCAAAGCTGGAGAGACTCAGTCACAATAGTAATGGGTGACTACAGCCCCAACGATTAGCACTTTCATCTAGAGACAAAAAAAAAAAAAAATCCTGCCAAATTAAAGTATTAAAGCCTGAGACTAGGTCATTGCCCTGTGCTGAACAGCTCACAAAATGAATAGCTTCTGCATATTTAAAGGAAGAGGAACTGATTACCACTGTATGAGGAAATACTTGCCTACTTCTACTAGTTGGACTGGACCAACAGGTTCCAGAAAAGTAGTCCCTTTTTATAGCTATGACTGTCATATTATCCTATTTACTGTTTGAGTAACCTACGCTACTTCTGGAGCAGAAGAAGCCTCCCTAGCTGCTCTAGAGATGTGTGTGCTCTCTTCTGTGGATCAGAGTAGCACTTGATAACCCTGATACTAAGGAGGGAAATGGAGCGGACAACACATCTGTCCAGCTGCAGAGTCAGGATTTGGTCCAAGAATACTGAATACGTGCAGAACACTTAAGTTTCGGTGGGGCCCCCAAATGCTTTATAACCTACCTACCAGGACACTGTAGCGGCAGGTTTTACTACCAGCATGTTAGTACTTGGTGCTATTTGCAGTGGTCTGATATGTCCGAGACATTTGTATGAGGCTGGCAGATGTGACAAAAATGTGCTTGTACCTGAAGCAGCGGCTGGAGTCCAGGAACAGTACCCCATAATGTCTACAGTGGTGCTAGACACCAGTTCCTGGGTACTCTTCATCTACCACTCAAACTCCATCACCTCTGAGAGACAAGTGGCTGACATGTTCATCACCCTCTGCCCTGAATTGCTGAATTGCTACGAAGGGGGTGATGAACATCTCAGCAGAATTGTCAAAGAAACTGAAGCAGTAGGAACTAAAAAGTTCCAAATTGGAATTCTGTCAGGACAATGAAGTTAAAATCCCCTTTCTCTTGCACAAGGGGTGGAGCTCTTTAAAGACCATGAGTGATGGAGAATCACTTTCAGTTTGCGTTTTATCTGAAAATGCACGTGTCCAGGCAGTTCCCCAAGACATGCAGCAGTCTGTCTCTTTTTAAGAGACATGTCCCTTTTTAAAGGATCAAAATCATCAGCAGCAGCCAGGCATAGTTCCTGGGCAGTACTCCCTCCAGCTTAACTCTGCTGACTTTGCAGGGTCCAAGACCACCACAGTGATGCGTATCTCTGGATGCAGATATGTAATGGCTTTTTATCCTTCGTGCATTGCCAAAGCTTAAGGAATGCATCATCTGTAGCATAACAAAAGAACAAAGAAATCACAAAGACTGACTGTTTGACAGCTGCTGGTATTATACAAATATCTTAAATGTGAGTTGTACACAGTCAGTGAATGCAGAGGCAAGAGCAGCAGGTTGAATGAGTTCCTTCAGCCTAACAGTGACAAAAAAACATTACTGCATTAGTTGTGGTCATATATGCTATGTGCAATATGTACAATTGCTTATATACTATGTGCAATGTATGTGCAATTGCTTATATGTAATGTGACAACATTGTAAGTATTAATTGCAGTTCCAAAGGCAATGCCCCAAAGGCATGTGCCACAGATGTCAGATTCATAGTGAGAGGCTGCAGTTTAACTATGTTCTTAATAAGTTTATTATTATTAAAAAAATATATAAGGATAAAATATGTTCTTTATGTTTTTGTCCCCCTCTCTCCCTCCCCTTCATTTCCAAGCAATTCCACTGGCAGCACACAACTGCAGAAGGATATTCACTTGAGGGTAAGGAGTGCTGCAGTGTTCACAGGGGAAGGCTCTATAGTAACAGAGCCTTCGTCCTGCCATACGAAGTGGAGCACATACCTCCTGGGTCTGCGCTGAGAGGGTAGAAAGGAAGACTACAGCTCTGTCATCTCCTTTGAGTCATTACATTTGCCCCTGCACAGCAGCTGGTGAAAATATGCACAGCCTCTGGTACACGGATGGGAAGATGATGTTTACTGAATCACAGTAAAGAACAGATTGGGACAAAGTGTCCCCAGGGACCATGCAGGTTATGTTCAAAGGTACAGATCTGTTCTGACCTTTGCTGACTCCTTATCTTCCCTCAACACCTGGACAAAGGACAGAGCATGAATAGCTGTCATAACACTATTCAGCAGCAACTCTTTGCTTAAAATTAGGTAGACCAGGGAAATGTTACTACTCTCATGTCTCTTTTCTTGCCCAGTGTCAACTTTCAGCAAAGCATTTTTTATCTGAAGTGCAAAAAGAAAGAAATGTACAGCTGGGTGGCACAAGCATCACAGCTACCATCCCAAATCCACAACCTCACAAGTCCGTCCAAAGGGCAGCATGCAGAATTAGATAACCAATCAAGGCTGTGAGGCGCCCTGGGAACAGCACTGAAAACCCTACCTCAAGAAAGACTCATATAAAATTCAAGGGGAAGTCTCAACAAGTAAAAATTAAATTATTTGAACATATTTTCATTTTTTGTAGATCCTTTTTTGCACTGAGATATTTTACCCAAATCAGCTAATGAAGTATTCAAAGCCACCCAAAAATCCAATAAAGACAGTGGAAAATGACAATGAGGTAAAATCAACTGATCTCCAATTAGAGCTATAGAAAGTGTTTCTTCTCCTGTTGGTGACCAGCCTGGGCCCTAAAAGGCTACTAGATTCCCCCAACATGAGCAAGAACGATGGCACAGAAGCAGCCTAGCTCATGTCAGTCTTGTTCTTCACCTCACTATACCAAGTCTCTATCAGCTACTACCACACAACTACAAAGGGGGCTTAAAGACTCTGAGTTAATAAAAACAACTCTTTAAGATATGCCCACTCACTTCTCAAAAAAGGAGCACTGTGGGTTGACAGTAGATATCTAAGTCCCACCCATGTTTCTCCAGATCCAATTCACATATCCCCCTGGAAGAAGTGGAAGTCTTCAAGATGCACTGCTATCACATGATGACAATTTTTTGTCTTTTTAAAGGAAAGCAGAAATTATTTCCCACATAAAAACCTGCATGAGGCCTGTTTAGCTAATTAGTGATTGAAACAATCCTGGAAGATTTAACTCTAGCTGTGTGAATCAATACAATGCTAAGGCAATAATCATCTTTCTGGGAAAAATACAAGGCAAGGAAAAAAAAATTCTAATATTTTCCTACCTTCCGCAAACCAACTTTAGTAATTTTCCCATTTGCTTGCTTGTTGTAGGCAAGAAAGCTGTCTTTAATAGTTGCTGCCTGTTGTAACACTTTGTCCTTCAGCTTTTCAATTACTTCATCAACAGTTCTATTCTTGGCATATTTGTTAGCTTGATCCTCAATCTGTTTCATTCTAAAATTGAAAGATTGTGCATGAAGACAAGTCACTTACTTATTTTTTGTAGCTTCAGACACTTGATTCAGCATTAATGAGCAATACTGCTTTAATGACAAACAAGACATTGACATGGGAGAAGCTCCTTTGATGCAAAAAGATAGGTTGATCATATTAAAGCACGTGTTGGTTCCAAGGCCTGTATTATGCACTCATTTCTTAAGTATACCTTGTTTTACAGAAGAAGATAAAAGCTGAATGATACTGCTCTGAAGTATTTATTTTGCAAATGTAGATCCTATACCTTCAATCACAAGCTTAGTTAGGTCATCACACTGCATCAGCTAAGGAAACATATTTATCCTTTAATACATATTCAGTTGCCATAACATGTCATAAGTTGCGATACTTCTTATGAAAGAATTAAATGAGTCTTTTTTCAAAAGGAGAAAATGGCTCTTATGAAGTTTTCTCTCTTCCTGGGAAGGTGAAACTTCCACTTCATGGATCCCTAGTAAATCACCTCCACTTTTTTCCTTTGTGAGAATGGCCAGAATATCTCTTTCTTTCTCAGATCCTATAAGAGAGTTCACAGATAGGGACTATATACTCTTCCTGATAAAATACCACTGCCCTCATCAGTAAGCCATTGAAGCAAGTCAAAATTACATACTTAATAACTTTTAAAGACAGAAAAGAAATTAAATTAAAGAGTATGTAATATGTCCCACTTTTATCTATTTTACATCTGCTAGAGATTTACTATGGCTCATGAAAAGGGAAGTTAAAACAATTATTTTTGTTAAGTCTGAGAGCATGTATTACCATATAAGCAAAAGGCAGAATTATTCAGCAGTCTTGTTTTTATAGGTTTATTAAGTATGTTTTATAGTATTCCCTAAAATTGAAGATAACCTTAAAATTTTAACTCTCGTTCTGAAAATATGTTCATGAAAAGAGTTTTGCTTTGATGTGAGCAGCACACAGAGGATTAACTCCAAGCCTCCCAAGAGTGATCAGGACAGCAGCGATTGGTGACTCCCTCCTGAGGATGCCAGATGGACCCATCTGCTGAGGGGACCTGGTCTCCTGAGATGTTTGCTCTCTTGCCTGAATGCAGGAGGTTGCCAAAACATTACATTCCCCACCCCAGTCCATTGACCATTATATTCCTTTGCTTATCCACAAAGGTCTTGTCATGAATGACCCCGCAGAGATGAAGAAGTAACCACATTGTAAGGTGATGAATATAGATAAACTCAGCTGTTGTTTATATGATTCCTCTTAATTAAAGTTAGACACAGTGACTTGCAGGATGTCATCAGAATGACCACCTTCCTTGGCAGGGATTTTTACTTCCATGGGCTACAAGGTAAAATTAGAATCCATCTCACCAAAAAGTGAAAAGCTTTCTGTATCTACTACCTGAATAACCTAGTAAGGAAGCCTTGGATTAACATTAAGGAAAGCTGTCACAAAAACCCATAGGAAAGTATAAACTATAGCAATACAGTTGAGGGGTTAAAAATAGGTGACACTGGGTTATATATTAGTGTAATAAAAAAACAAGCAGAATAAATCAGGCCACCAAATACTGTGGTTTTGCATACATAAAAACATAAATATATTAAGAATATATATTATTTAAAAATAAATATGAAATGTGAAACAAATAATAAATATTCAATAAATACTAATGTTTACTATTGTATACTTTTAATAATACTTATAATAATGCATGTGCAATAATTATATTTTAATGCTTATAGTTTTAATATTTACTATAAATGCTAATATTAGAAAATAATTATACTTAATTAAATTCTTGTTCAAATTTTTAGTTAATTATATTAATATTTATTAATAACAAATGCATTTTTAATAAATAAACACAACATATATAAATAAATATAAGTAAATGCATATAAAAATAAAAAGCATATGGCATAAGCAACAGGAGCTAGAAGTCTTAAAATAACCTGAATTATAAATTAAATGGATAGCTCACATGACTGGAATAAGCAAAGGGTTCGTTCCTGAGGACAGGTGAGTTGAGGAAGATGATATATTGTCCTTTACATCAAGATCATTAGACAGAATCTTAGGGATCCTTAGGATTTGGTAAATTAAGCACTACTAGGAGTTCTACTCATAAAAGCCCACAGGAATGAGGGTGTCAAAATTGTGGGACACCTACTATGTCACACCTCAAGGGAAAACAGGATATGGATTTGATGCTTTAGGAGATTTGAAATTTTTTCTAAAAAAAAAAAAAAGAGAGAGAGAGAGCAAAATCATCCTAGTGAAACGAGCTGGTTGTAATCAGGTGGGTAATGATGACAGCAGAATACAGGTTGCTCAGCAGATTACCAGAATGTATCAGTGAATTCTGCTGATACCACATGAAGGGAAGTCTTTCTAAATGTTATCCTAACTAACACAGAAATACTGTTTGAAAAGGTGAAGTACAACTTAGGCAAGAGTGGAATGACAGATCTCATGACCCTTGGAAGAAAGAAGGATAGAGAAACAGTAGACTTCTACCTACTCAAGTTACCAGTATCTCATATGAAATGGGTTTAAGAGCAGGTAGCGCATAAGTGAAACATGTTACCACAGTATAAGATAGTATATATGGGCAAAATCTGAACGGCCATGACAAAACATGCGATTTGATATCAAAAATATGAAGAACAATAAAAAGTCATTACAGTAATGCCTCAGTAAAACAAAGGAAAATTTTGGCTCGCTAATGAACAGGAAGAGAAAACTATCGACAGATGACATTAAGGGATATGAAACACTTAAAACTTCTGTTTTAGATTGTTTTTCAATAGAGAAGTCAAATATAAGCAGGTGGCTTGAACAATGAATACTAACAACAAATAAGGAAAGAAAGAAATCAGAATACTGCTCTTTTTATTCAAATTTGTATTTAAAGAAATGGCTAAAATGGTCTCAGATTTGATACAAAACTTCCAGAATTATGCAGAAAAGCAAATACACTACCTATGTTAAAAAAAGGGGGTGGGGGGTGGGCAGGAGAAGAACTAGAGAGTTACTGACATATTTCTAAGAAATCTATTCTTGCTTTCAGGCAGTAATTACACAGTCACAAAGAGTTCAAAGCGTGTTAAGAGACACAAGAGCCACTAGGGATTCTAGAGATCTCTCTTGATTTCAGACGAGCTTATATTTTAAATAGTACTCCCCTCCAACCTGCACCACTTTTACCTCACTATCCTAAGGAAACAAGAATAATGCAATCCATCTTTTAATCCATGTGCCTGTCAGCCTTCCCCCTGGAATTGGATACATCTACCAATTTCAGTCAAAACTGAGGCGGGTAGGAGTCTTAAGATATGCATGCTAGCAAGCTTTGTGGAACTGATGGTAGGAAAGGAGAGAGACTCCAAGCTGGGAAGGCCGGGGAGGCTCACGCCATTATCTGTTCCGTTCGTTAGCTGCCAGCCAAGCAATCAGCATATGTGTTTCCCTGGGCTAACCACCTGCCGTCTCTTGTCCAGCTGCCACCTTGAAGTATTCAGTGAAAAGCAGCATTTTTCTACCTTTAAATAATAATCTGCATGTACATTTGCCTGGTGCCAAACCCCACTCCCTGCACATTATCATCCTGCTGGAGTGAATCTCTAAGTTCTTCACTTAAAGGTTAATGACTGCCGAGCAACTGTAACACACCAGCCCTGCATGCCATAATGCTTGCTGGTGGTATGGAAAGTGCTCAGATTGTGGCTCAGCAGAAATCCGGGACAGGAGTATCTATTAATGAGGCTAATGAATGTATTCTCAGTTTGGTGTACTGTGTCCTGTTGACAGCAAGGTGATCTATTTAGGTGCTTCATCTGCATCTTTTATCTGGACAGCTCTCTGCTCTGACAGTCTTCCAGCAGAAGTGGCATTGGACCTCTCCATAAAACCACCTCAGGAAATCTCAGAAAAATCTGTTCCTATCAATAGGAGAATAGATCTCTCAACCTCCAGGACAGGAGGGACAATCTCTCAGCTTGCAGAAAACAGCTGGATTTCCTGGTTAAGTGTAACTCCAGTTCTACTTTGGGGATGACCTTGGAACAGAACTGCGAGAACATCCCATTCTCAAAAGCATTACATAGTGAGAGCTGAAGTCTTGACTATCTCCTGGCGTCTTGCAAAAGTGAATTAGGAAAGACTTCCAGAGACAGTCAGCTAAAAAACCATAAAGATTACCCATTGCAAACTGTTGATCCTAAATGACCACTTGGATAAGAAAGAGTCCAGACTTACTTTCCTGGAGTCTTCCTCTTCCATTACTAATCATGATTTCTTATAATTTGGTAGATGAAAGTCACCTAACATGAACAGTGTGACAAGGAGAGAAGTAATATTAAGATTAGCTGGGTGCCAAAGATTTTTGTGAGCAGTTTCAGGAAGAGGGCAGAAGCCTTAAATTCTGGTATAAAAGATGCTGATTCCAGAATTGCTTTGGCCAAGCTGGAGTGATCAGATTTGTCAATGCCACCATCAGACAAGATCAAGAGGAATGGAAGAGAAGGTGTAAGCTAATGCTCATACATACAGAAGGAGGAACTCAGATCTGCAACAGATTCAAGACACTGACCAATCCAGGGACCAAAAATCCAAAGTTTCTGTTTTAAATTCTTAAAAATGCCCATGTCTGATGTGAAAAGATCCAACTTGGTATGTTCCCAGTACATTTGCCAGCTTTCTGCACAAGGGATTGACTCAGTTCCGCGCTGTCCTGACAAGCTAAAGTGATTCAAGCCATCTACCGAAGAACTGATGCCACATGAACTGCTGACACATTGTCAGGCAATAGCTTCAAATAGTTGGCCATTTCTCAACAGGCCATGACTGACAGCACAATATAAAGTAGTTCATGTCCTCTCAGCAAAAAGCCACTTTGGCAAGAGGGTAAAGGCAAATTACTGCCTTCTTTAAAATATCCTAAAGGCTCCTAATCTTCCCAAGACCCCAGAGAGGGAGGGAAGGATGTCCCAGTGACTGAGAGGCATTATAGCATAGGTAGTATGCTTCTCCTCTATTTTGGCTTGCTATAGCAGAATTTGGCAAAGGACAAGAAGTGGACTCTGGTGAGTGTGAGCTGTCCTTCTGCAAGGTCCTCACCAAATCTGCTGATGGATTCTTCATATTGCCAATTCAAATGTCAAATAGCCATTGCCAATTACTTGCTGTTAATGACAGAACCATGAAAGTCATGGTAGGCCTATAACCTACTATGCGAGGGTGCTGCTGAAGGCTGCATTAAGTGTAGTCCTGAAATTGGTATTTGGGGTCAGAGTTCCAATGTCATTGTTTATTGGTGTCCTTACAGCACTCATGTTTCTTTTAGAAGTGTATAGAAGGCCCAAGGCAAAGCTCTGAGACAACAAAATGGAGACAACAGAAACGGGCTTTTTGAGCCATAGGAATAAGCTGTGAGTTCTGAGGACAGACAACCTCTAGAGCTTCTTTGAAAGGGATTCAAACACAGACGTAGGAAGTACAAAAAGACCAGAGAGTTGAAGAGGGAGGAATCTGGGGCAAGGTACATCGCTTACAGAATTTCTGACTTCAGATCCCCCCTCTCTTGAGAGCTGTTGACAGGAATGGGAGCTTTGCACACAGCATTCTCTTCTTTGTGAAATACCACCCTCAAAATGAGGCAAGACAGGAACAGTGTAGCCAGCAGGACCAGGGAAGTGATTGTCTCCCTGTATTTGACACTGGTGAGGTCGCACTTTGAATACTATGTTCAGTTTTGGGTCCCTCACCACAAGAAAGACGTGGTGCTGGAGTGTGTCCAGAGAAGGACAACGAAGCTGGTGAAGGGGCTGGAGCACAGACCTTATGAGGAGCGGATGAGAGAGCTGGGGTTATTTAGTGTGGAAAAGAGGAGGCTCAGGGGAGACCTTATCAACTCTCTACAGCTGCCTGAAAGGAGGCTGTAGTGAGGAGGGTGTCAATCTCTTCTCTAGAATAACTAGCACTAGGACAAGAAGAAACGGCCTCAAGTTGTGCTGAGGAGGTTCAGATTGGGTATTAAGAAGAATTTTTACACGGAAAGAATGCTGAAGCCTTGGAACAGGCTGTCCAGGGAAGTGGTGGAGTCACTGTCCCTGGCAGTGCTCAAGATACCTGTAGATGAGGCACTTAGGGACATGGTTTAGCAGGCAGAGTGTTGAAGGGCTTACAGTTGGAATCAATGATCTTGAAGGTCTTTTCCAAGCATAATCATTCTATGATTCTATGATTCTATGCCTCCTTGAACATGCCTACATGGACTCCCTAACTCTAATTGTAACTGCAACTGTAACTCTAACCCTAAATATAATGCCAACATTAACCCTAGCCCAGTCCTCCAGTACCAGGGTTAAATATTATCTGGCCTCAAGTGAAAATACATGTGTTCTGAGTCTGAGTATGCATGTGGATTTCCATACGAAATTAGAAAAAAATGTATTTTTGAGGGAAGCAAAGCCCATTCCATTAAAAGAGAAGCACTTCTTACCCCCCTCTCCTCCCCTGGGCTTACACAGGAATTTCCATACATTAAAAGGTAAGAAGAGGAAGGAATCAGTGGTTCATGTATCTTTGTAACCTGGTGCAAAGTATCCATGATGCTGATTCAACTGGAAGCTGTGGTGATGGCCTGCAGGAGTGACAGACAGTAGATGGAGCAGAGTTCCCACTCCTCTGGGAATGTTCAAATCCAGCTCCTGAGCAATGAGCTCCTGAGCAATGAGTGGTTCTACAGAGGATCACAACCTTACATTTCAGATGTTATCTAGAGCGCAAAACTTGAACTCTTGAATGATGCAGTGAGATAGATACAGTTCTTGTGGATCCTGTAAAGCCAAGAGCTCAACCATTTTTGCCTGAATCTGAGAATCTTTAATGAATGATCCATACATATTTGCACTCCTGATGCAGTGCTTTGAGTGTTGTACAGTTTTGAATAGATCTCTGTGAAATGAGACATAAGCCTAGGACAGTACTTCCTATTAAACAAACAGTATGTATTCTCAGTCTTTCTGAAAGTATCTTTTCTATATATATTTTATTATATTGAAATCTGTATAAATAGCATACCTTTTTGAAGGATCTGTTTGCCTTTTTTCTTCTCTTTGTTGGCTTTCCTTTGATATATGTGAGCCGACACCATTTAAGTCATCAGAAGGAACATCAATCTTTAAGCTATCCAAAAGCATATTGTAAAAGATCCCACCAGAAGAATTATCCTGATATTTATAGCATAACCTGGATAAAATAAGAATTTAAAATAACTTGGGAGATTGGGAACAATGTATAATACAAATGTCTTTCTTAAGACGAAGATGATCTCAGGAATACATTTGCTTTCCATATACAGCTAAGAACATTATTCAAAAGGCTTTCTTTAGGCTTTGGAAACTAGCCTTCCTGGACTCCTTTGGTAGCCTACAGAGAAATTAGGAATCAGCTTAAACACTGAATGATTATATAGAGGAGCTCCATTGACTCTAGAAGGAGCCTAAGGAGACAAGTCTCTCCTATCTCTCATTAGCCTTAGTGAATACTCCGCATCATTAACACTTGGATTATATAGTGGTCAATTGGAAGAGATTTGTCTCACCTGACACTGGCCTCTCAAATTTGGATGCAACAGTGGAAGAAGTAGGTGAGAACACAGCTACTGCACGACTATACCTGACAGAAAGCATGAATGAAAGCCGCTGTTTACCATAACTTGCAATCTGGCATATAAATGTAAAATTAAATCACTTGCAGCTTAAATTAATACTGCTGGCTGTCAACCCTAGCAGCCCAGGAGCAGACTTGCTGTCTGTACAGTCCCTCTGTTACACTGAAGGTAACTTCCAGCAGGGTGTTTGAGCGAGTAGCTCTCTGGGCCAGTTAAATTACCGCCTTAAATCACTCCGGTATAAATTAGCAGAACTCATGAATCAGAGCCCTTTTCATCACCGTGTCACTGCTTCACGGAGCAGCTCAGCCTTCCAAGATTTCACTCATGCTCATAAAGCTTCTGGGCATTCCTGGACAAAAGTAGAAAGCTCCTGTACTTGTACTGAGGAAGCAAAGCATTCACTATACTCAGCTCACCCCTAGTGCCCATTCTATTTAGACTGCCATTAAAAAATACCTTAAAAAATATTTGGAACTTAACACCTATGCCTTCTTTCTGAAATAAATAAAAAGAATAAATAAATAAATAAAAGCAAGGTTCCATTTCTTTTGAGAAGTCTAATCCATGACATACACACTGCAGAGTGTCAGAGAGATGAAAAAGAGAGGAAAGAATCTCCATTTCTGAGTGTGTGCAAGCCCTGCTCAGTTAAAACAAGTGTAGCCTTCCCACAGAAAATGTCTGTGAACATCATAGCGCAACATCTGTTTTGTGAGTATAATCCATAAAAGGCTTCCAAATGCCCTTAAAAAGTGTTCTCCAGTCTGAATGTCATTTCACAGGAAGCCATCTGGGACAAGCCAGTTATTCTGCTGCAGCGACAGCAGTATTGTCCTCAAGTGCCTCAGGATGAGTCACATCAATGCAAAAGTTCAATTACAGCAGAAGCCCCTCCAAAGCTGAGGTATCATTTCAAATAAATAGGACTGATGTAGCTTAACCACTGGAATTCAGAATGTAATTCAGTCACTTCATCACGTTTTGCTCCAAAACCCTGCATCCCTAAAAGCACCTGTGTTAAATCCCCAGTCTGGAATGTCATAACATTCCCAGCACAACTGTGACAGTCTTAACCCTGTAAGTGTGCATTTAAAAGAGTCAATTACATCTTCTTTACTTATTATTTTAAAATACAGCATTTTAAATGTGGCATCTCTCACCACTTTAGAGCAGTGAACGAACAGTGCCATCCACTGTTTCTCTGTATAATCCACACTATTTTCCTAGGGTAGTTTTAAATAAGGTTTGACATAAGAATTAGCACCATGAGAAAAAAAGTACAGATCAATAAAAATGATGTGAGTAAAAAAACATTTTTAAGGAATCAGCTATATCACTGAATGGTAACTTTAAAAATAGATTATCACCAAGTGGATATTTTCAAAACACCTCTTTAGCTGTGACTGAGCCATTCTAATTTAATTAGCTAATTTTTACTCATTTATTTTAACACTAAACATTTTTCCAGTCGACTATTAAAATGTTGTGTACAAATCCCCACTTCATCTTATTAAAATAATTAAATTTTATCCTCCAAATGGTCATCTTCTCTCTTGAACATGGTCCTGTATATGGTCTTGCTAAGAGCAGGGTTTTTTAGAAATGTTTACTACAGAAGAACTAATACAGTGTGAATAAGACTCTGTTTTCATGGACTGAACATGGTCGATAGAAGATTATGTAGCAATTGATGTCCCTGAATGTCTTTGACAATGGAATTCAAACCTTATCTTCTAGATGCATTTTTAAGATGCTGCTCTTATCAGAAGATTACAAGCTCATCACATCCACAGGGAAACATGCCTGGTTTTGAGAAACACACATTGCTGCATTGTTCAGCAGTACTGCAGTTCGACAGTGCTCAATATTCACTACAATAGGAAACCTGAAAGACTTTTATACACACTTCTACGGCTTTGCTGGAACACAACCTGGGTTGCTAGACTTGGTGAGGCTGATTGCACAGGATTTATTTTGCATCGTTTTAAATCAAAGGCAAAATAGCCATTGACCACAATGATGAATGAATTAAACCCTCAAAAAGAGCTTCTCATTGCCTCTTCCCCTACATTATTTTTCTTACGGTGAACGCTTAGAATTTCAAGTAAAGGCCACTTTACAATTCAAAGTGCCAGCAATTCCTGACTTCCCTGTCAGTAGAGATCTTTCTTTGACACAAATAATGGTAGAAACATTATTTAGAAAATCGGAAAACTGCTGAGTCCCAGGTAATTCAAAGGATAATTACTTGTTCATGATCAATGACCAGTGATTATATAGTATACAACACAGAGCTATAAAACTGACAGATGATAAAAGCATATAGTTATAACACACCATGCTGGGAACACGACTTTTATGAACCCAGTATATAACACACAAAGTTTTCTCTAAGATATATACAGAAAGAAAAATGCATACAGTGGAATTGGTTTTACTGATCATGCTCATGCTCATTCATATTTCAGGATCAAAAATTCTTTTCCAAAAGCCATTTCCTATCGATGCTGTTATGTTTGCTCCTCACTCACAATGATCAGCAAGCCATTGGGTTATGTGAGTCAGGCTTGAATTGATTTCTTCGATTTTCCTATTATGTTATCAAAGGTAGGAAAGAACTCCACAGCTTTCTGAAAGTGAATGAGTGTAAACAGCGAAGGCTAGAGTCTGCGGGAGAGCAGATTAGACCGGATTATAACCTAAATGAATTGCTATTGCCATAAACACTTAATGCTGTTCCCTCCTCTTTGGACATAGATATTTTGACTGCATGTTCCCCATGTTCTTCGATTTGGCATTCTGCTGATATTCAAATGAGATTTCATGTTGGCAGTGCTAAAATTCATCTCCTTGTTCATTACAACAATAAACTATTGAGTAAAGACACAATATTAATTCAATTTTTATTACATTCTTGGAAATGCTGAGTAATATTTGATAATGGCTTGGATCTCCACTACATCAGTTGTTCTTTTGTAGAAAAAGACTTGTCTTACATTTAAAATGCTCAATTATGTCAAACTCATGAGAGTTTCCAACACAGAATATTCATGTAAATAAATAAGGAATTTACCATAACATGATCATATATGGAATGCAGCATCTCTTTCACTGCTTTTTCTTTTCTATAAGCTTAAGGGAAACCAAAATCCTAACTACCGCTCAATAGTTATCAATTCAAAGACAGGAAGAAATACATAGCAAGAAAAGAAGTTATACTAAATCTGTTACAACTCGCATAGCATCAACCTACCTCATAAATTGTTGGTCTGACAAACAGGGACAATATATCTGTAGAATTTTTCTTAGATGACTTCTGCTAATAATGCCTGTACATTTAGGATCATAGAATTGCAAAGTCGTATGAAAATCTTTCCAGTTTTCTGTAATTTTATCTGTAAGGATCTCTGCCACCTAAAAAACCAAATGAATTAGTAAAGGGGAAGACAAGTGAATCCCTGGAGTTAAACTATGATAGCGCTACTACGTGATAAAAATGTACTAAAATGGCAAACAATGATACAAGATCAACATCCACTGAAATTGGACCATGTTATTACCTACAATATTCTACACTGCAATAGCAGAAGCAGTCTTCTTAATTGGTTTGTTCCATTAAGCCATTTATGACCCACCTAATTTAAAACAAAGTTATATTCAATTAAAACAATTTTAGCTTACTAATTTCAAAGCAAGATACAACATCCGGCAGCACATTCACTCACCAACACTTATCTTGGAAAATGTTTGTTCTGAAATCTGAATGAAAAGTGACTAAGAAAAAGTGTATCTCACTTCACAGACCTGCTCCTTTAAGCAACTCAAGAGTCATGTCTACCAATTGATAACATCACAGTCTTTTTATTGTGTTTTTCCCCTCAGTCCTGTAAAACAAATTCACTAGGACTGAATGAGTTGCAAATGGCACTCATCTTACTCGGGGCATAATTTGAAGGCAATAGACTTGCACAGAGGATAATAATGACAAAATCCGGCTTGCTGAACCTGCTTCAGGAGCTGTCTGCAGCATTAGCAGTTAGAATAAAAGTGTCTTTTCACTTGTAAATTGAGTACATTAAAAACAGGAGCGTCTGATAAGAAACAAACACAGAATCTCAATTTGACAGAGAATCTCCGCACAACTGCAGGTCTGACTGAGCGCTGTGCTACGCTGAACCTATGGTGAGAAGAAGGAGGTGGAGGTTTGTGTTGTTTTAGTACCCTCTGGCTGAGGGCCCAGATTGTTTACAGGTTCTGGTTCTTCCCATTCCTCCTTTTAGGTGTCCTCTGACTGAACTGTTTCCCAAAGGAATAATAAAAAGGCAGAGATTTCTGGAAAAAAATGTCTTCTTTTATTTGCAAAACCTATTATCTGCCTCTTCCAGAGAATGAGCCATGTTGATGGAGCTGGCATCACTACTCAGGACACCACTGGAAAGGATTCCTGGACACTCAGGCTGCCTTGTAGCTGTTTTCTATCAAGAGATGGCTGCAAACTAGCCACAGAGTCCATAGTTCACCTACTCCTTAGAGCAGAATCACTCTCCAAGTGTGAAATGACACCCACCAAGCTCGCATCATGCACAGCCACTGTCTCACTCCTAGTGGTATGTCATGCCATGGTGACCGTGATCTATAAGGCTTAGCATTTCCTTTACCTGCATTCTTTCATGCTATCATTTACTTCATTTTGGATTTTTATTTAAAATGGTAAGAATGGTCTTTTTTTTTGTGACAATCTCTAATAACGAACCTAACCAGCTCGATTTAAGCTCAACTTAGCATGCATATCAGCTGTATACATTGATGTAGTCAGTATTTGTACTTTCCCCAACATATCAATATCATAACTATTAAAGTTTATCCCAGAATTTCACTCAGACCATTATCCTCCTCAAAAACAGCCGGAAGGGACTTGAGCTGCTGCATCAAATGTAGCTATTGTTAGAGCCATCAGAAAGGAATGCAGGCTATTCCAGTTAGGAACATCAAAGTATTTCAAAGCAGTGCACACTATTCAGGACTGAATAAGAATCGGATCTTTTTGTGCATCTAGCATCTCTCTTGACATGGCTAGACCCCTTTGATATCTCTCAAAAACACTAGTCAGCCTAGCTAAGACAAAAGCTAAACCCAGAATTAGTCAGATGACATATTAATGCAAACATAAAAGAGATTTGATATGGAAAATTATGAACAGGTTCTTAATACTAGGAAGCAGATATGCAAATAGGAGCTTAAGTTACTTCTTAGTAGAATTCAGTAAGCAAAAATGTATTGGCAATATTGTCTCTGTCTAAGGAAGCAGATCTAGTAAACAGAAGTTTCGACTGCAGGATTCAGCATATAACCTATCTGTACACATGGTAAATAGCTTTAGAGGAAGGTTTTAAAAGAAGACTACAAATTCAGAAGATATCAAAGCTGTACCCAGGAAAATATGCAATCTCTGTGTAGCATACTGCATATATTTTGAACCAATGTGTTATTATAAAAATATGTAAAAAAAACCCAGATAAAACAAGAAACAGCTCTTTTGCAGAAAGGAAAACAGATTTGATACCCTAAAGCTATGAAATATTACTACTGCCCCTCTGCTGCTGTACACATTTAAGCATGGCAGTGATTCTACAGGAGTTTTCAAAATCTCCAGTAGCCACAGGATTGATGCTTTTGAATAATGCTTTCCAACCAATGCTTCAGAAGAAAAGAGTCTAGAAGTGGTCATTATGAAGATTTACATTGCTGGAAAGTATGTGAATGCACTTACTTAGATGAAGATGCTACATAGAGGATAACATTTTACTAAAATATATTCTGGCACTTCGCTGCAGCCATTGTAAACTAGGCTAACTTAAAGGAATTAAAAAAGAAACACTTACTGGACACTCTTTTTCTTCAACCAAGTCTAAAAATTTATGATAGTCAAGATATCCAGTCTGTTCTGGATCCATTATCTGGATCAGCTCTTGGAAATCTTTGTTTTTTATTTGAAGTAAGAAGTAATGTAAAATGCGACGAAGCTCATCTCTGGTGATCTTTCCATCTCGTTTCTAAGACCCCCCCCCAAAAAAAAGAAAAAAAAATACATATGTATGCATATATAAGAGCAAACAAACATACTAGAGCAAGTCTGATTTTAACATGTTATTCTGCATCTCTAAATCATCCTACCCTACAATAACTCAGAGCTCTGTAACTTTTCCAGTAGCCTGCATATTTTGAATCTAGTACTTCTACTCCCGTTCCCAGTGAATATACAACTGGAACACTTATTGGATGGAACACTAAACCTATGGAAATGAAACTTCAATGACCTTGCAAAAGGTCATTGCGAAAGATTATGCAGTTTGCTGTGCCACAGGAGAGTGGATATGTAAACTGGCTTTCGACAGACCTCACATTCAGGTCAGTTTATTGACCACATTTCATTCCTTATTTGCTCTGTACATATCAAGTTGTGTCTGACTGAAAAAGCTTGCTGTGTCTGAGGGGAGTCAACTCAGGTGTCTCTCTTTTTCTGCTTCCAGAAAAGCTGGCCCTACTGTATGGGTGCTTGCTTTCTCCAGGGACTATACTATACACAAATTTATTATTAAGAACTCTGTTGCCAACCCCTCTTCCCTGTATGACAGTAAACTATGAATTAACAATTACTGCAGTCACGTTGCTGATCCTTCAGAAAGGCAATATAAGGAGTTTGTGCCACATATACCTAGGTTAGACTTCTGAAGGTGGACAAGTTTTTTTCCCCACTTCTACATCACTAAAGGATTTTGTGAAATTAAAAGGCAGAAGTTGCTTTGCTACTATTCACGAAGTTGCTGCTACCACATACTCCATCCATGGCCTTGATGAAGAATACCTTAGTCCATCAAATGATGTCTGTAGCAATATCTTAAATACCTCAGCAGGTTCGTAAATGGCACCTGACCCTGGGTTTACCGGTATTTGAAGCACATTCCTGTATGCCAGCATTTTCTTCATGGTTAGCTTCAGAAGACAACAGCAAACATCTTGAGTGCAGCTTTTCCAAGGGCTGCACTTTTCAGCTGTGGTCCACAACCGTGATGGCTTATACAGTCAGAGTGAATACTCTGCAAAGACTTGGGTTATTAGAGAGCTCTCAGGTAAAGGTTCAATGATAAGAACATGCTGAGCCTTGAGAAATTCTAACTGTTGGCACATTCATCAAATCTTTTGAGATTGACTGTCCTAGGACTTTCCTTTTCTTTTTAGTGTATTTCCTTTACCTCTTGATATGCATCCTTTGCATCTGCTTTATTGCTAGGTTAGGTCTCTCAGCACGCTCTACTTGGCTAGCAAGGGTGAATTAGTTAATTAGTTTTTAGGGGGAATCTGTATGTTTGGCTTGATGCCCTATCATACCGTCATGCCAATGGGTTCCTGTTTAGGCTGTAAGGTAATGGATGTGTTCATGAAACAAATCAAGGAATCTTTATGTTGCTGCACTTAAGGCATAGCTTTTCTCTCACTTCTCACAGCAAGTAATACCCATAATTTATATGGGAGAGCTTAAATATGCGTTTGCACCAATTCTTTCTTATGACTATCATTGGATCTATTGAATTTTAAAATTTCCTATTTGTTCTTGGACTTTTCTGGGACTTTTTTTGGGGTTTGTTTCTTTATTTTCTCTAAAGAAACCTGAAGAAGAATAATGTGGAGAAAGAAGAAGAAAGAGTGGAATAAAGGCTTCAGAACAATAAAAGGAAAATTAGGAGTAAATAGTTCCTCCAGCGATTCGGTTTCTGGCTAAGCACTAGACAAATATCTTTCTCTTCATAAAATTCACTCTAAGAAAATTCTGTTTCCCTTTAGTCCCCCACCGAGATCCAGAGTGGCAGTAATAATACAGAGGATGAACAATTATTTACTTCATCAGCTGGTCTGGGAAATACTTTAAAGTTCTGCAATCAAAAAATAATGGTCTTGTGAAACTACTATATGCTATTTGAATTTTCTTTAGAGACTGTTGTCACTGCATTAAATCATATGGAAACAAAACCTGATAATATACCTTCCTTGCCCAGTAAATAAGTTAGGGAAGGCGGAACTGAAGCTACAAAGATAGTCTGCATATCACAAGAAACAAATGTACACAGTGACAATGTCTAACCCATGGAATATCTGTTACAATGAAAAGAAATCACATTCTGTTCAAAGGTTAAGTAAGACAGGCAAGGTGTACATGTATATTAAAGCCTAGTATATACTATATCAGTCTTTCTGAGTAGATTATATTTGCTTATTTGGCCACCTTTCAAATTTTAATTTTATTCGTTTAAAATGATATCACTACCTCATACAAGCCAATCTGTCATAAGTAACATCCATGGGCTGCACTGATTTACTCCAACAACAAAAAATCATGATATCATGCATAAATTCAGACCATTCTTACATATATTCCTATCAGTGCCAGAGACCCCAGATGTTAAGGATAAAGTGGTTCTGTTTTCAGCCTGTCTTTCCTTTCCACTACCTCAAGAACCACTAGCTCAAATTTTAACAAATGCCTTCGTTAAAATTTCATTCAGTAATGCCCCTATCCAGCAAACCACTTATAATCATGCAGTGAAGTGCCTTGTTGAATCATGGGCTGAATGCTGTAGGTGTTGTTGTTATCTACTGCAGTATATGAAACTGATTTCTTTTTTTTATAAATTGCTAGGTGAATTCTTTCTTCTTGTGGTCATATATATATGTACATAAATAAAATACGGCAAAGCTAAAGAGAATAGTTTTTATGCAATTATATTAGAAAGGAACTGTGATATATCATCTATATAAAGCCATCTGATAAAAAAAATGCCAACCCTACTTCTAAAGATATGCCCAGTGCTCATTCTGCTTGTGTCAACCAGACTGAAAGCTTTAATTCTTTAGTCTATTACTTGCTCATTCAATTCCGAAATACAGAATTTAAGAAGTGCAATTTAAGAAGTGCAATACGTAGCAAATCAAAGTAATGAAAAAATCCATCTGTCCACTAAAGGCACAATCACACAATCCCATGTACAGCACATATATATCATGACATTCCATCAGAAATGACAGGGAGGCATTTTAACAGAGTTCAGTACATCATGAAGGCTACAGAACTGGTAAGGATAGACAGTTCTTTATTAAAAGTCCACATTCCAGCACTAGACATGAAAAGGGAATTCAAAATCCACAAAAAAATATCATATGAAGATGCTTCTGAAAACAGAGGGACCTATGCAATTGTATCCTCAGTAGTGTGCCGGTGTCACACATACATTACCGTCTACCTATCAGATCACACACTGCAAAACATTTACAGATACAGATACTATCAAGTGACAGCACTTTCTGTTTATATTACATTATATAGGCCTAAAATAATTATGCCATAGTTCTGATTCTAATTCATACTGATTTTATCCTTTCAGCAAAACAGATTTATTTGGAGTTTCTATGTGCACTCTGAGACCAGGAGCATATATATTGCTAAACAACGTATTTTGACATCCACATTTAGGAAATCTCCCTTCTTTTTCAAATTATTAATCTCAAATTCAAATATAGTCTTACTCTGCAAATATTTATGCCTATCTTTAACTTAAATGTCGGTACAACCAATGGGACTCCTTTACCATGTAATGTACTAGAACAAGCAACCATGTGCCTTTAAATCTTTTACAGCTGTGGGAACATTAGAGTTTTTCTGATGCCAGGTTTCAGCACTGGACAGAAAACAGCTTAGTTTCCCTTATGAATTTCACACAATTAAGGACTTCAGTTAGGAAACTTTCCAATATTACTTGAATTCTTTGCCTTGACATGAAAACACATACTTCACATTAAATCAAGAACAAGCATTCACTTAAAAAGAACACAGCAGACTCCAGGAGTTGCCTTTCCATTTGCAAATGCACTCCACATAGTGGAATGTATAAAAATAACAGTATTTGGCAATAATAATGATTAAAATTAATAAAATTAACTAAAGCCAAAAACGTCCAGTGTGTATACTTAGTACTGCCTACCCCAATTACTAATATTTTTATGTTGTTATCCCTGTGTTTCAAACTTTATGGGAAACCTTTTTTGAAAAAGAGGCTAGAGAGTTTGTATTAATTCCTTGAAATTAAAAAACTTGTGTAACAACTTGTTTTTTTTCAAAGATTACATTTTTACAGTAAACTACAAAACATCACGACATTCACAATAGAACATCAAAGGATACTTCACTTATCCTTTTGCAAAATCTGACTCACCATGTTAGAGTCAAATTAGTAAATCTAGTGACAGGTACATTACACATGTAGGCTGTATATAAGAAAGCACTGGTTTTAGGTTAAGACTTGGATATGGAGGAACAGGTAGGGACCAGCAGCATTTTAGACTCCAACAGATCAAGACTGATTCAGACAAAAATCAGTTGGAAGAAGAAACTAGCAGGCACTTGCTGGCAGGCTGGGCAGCAATGTCATAAAAAATCACAAGCCTGCAATATAGTCCTATTAAAACTTTTAGATAAGAACATAAATTTACTTTAACTCTGGAACAGAAGAAGTTTAAGCTCAATCTATTTCTGTTTCCTGAAATAAAAGAGCAAGCAACTTTATTAACTCTGAAACCTGGGGAAATTGCTTTGCTTCGCTGATGTTTTTGTAATAGTAGCTGAAAACCCTCTTAAACAGCTTTATAAACATTAGGAATGTTCCAAATTTATACACATTAATGTGTATAAATTAATGTTCCAAATTTATACACATTAAATGATGAGATCATTGGTGAGATCACTGCATTGTTGAACCACTGCACAGAGCGGCTGAGCAGGAGAAAACTCATTTGCTAAATGATGCTATATGGATCTTACTGTGACAAGGAAATTTGCCATCCAGGAAGAACATTGCTCCGATGTTCACATGACACCAGAAATTCTCCATAAATTCAGCAAAAAGTGTCAAAGGCAGTAGGCACCACATTTCATCTTACTGATATGGAAATCAGCACTCCTGGGAGCTACCACACTTCACAAGAGACCACAAGAGGTGAGGACAAGAGGAGATTCACTTGAGCCCCAAGATGGGTTGCCCTGAGCAGGAGAGAAGGAATGTGGCGGCAGGTTTGGAGATGAACTCCTGCATAATCAGGACATGATGCCCCTGGCAGAGACAACCACCAGCACCAGGTAACATGGAGATGGCAAGAGCCCCCATCTCACACATCTGAATCCCCCTCCCTTGGTGCTGCCAGCCAATAATCCAGCTATCAAACAGATGTGATAGATAAACCAAATAACAGAAAACTCCAAATGCAGTTGTAGGTAACAGTCCACTCTCCATAGGCCTATTCCCATTGAGGTCTTGCAGGAGGTAATTTTCAGCCCTTTGTTATGCATCTTTCTATGCATACCTAGTACATATAGATGTGTGTGTGTGTGTGTTAACAGGGTAAACACAACTCTCTACGCACGTGCGCACACACACACGCATATATAAACATGTTTATATTCAAATAACCTGAAAAAAAATCTAAAATACATCAGATAGCCAAAGACAAATGAAATAGTAAATAACACTAGAACAGCACAATAGAAGAAAACACTAGCACAGCACAATTATTTGGGAATATAACTACAAGCAGAAAAAAAGCTTTCTAGTAAAGTCCTACATTGAGAAATGGCGAAGGAACAGCAGCATTGATGAGGAATCTTACTTACAAGAACAGTAACTGAAAGACTGCAGGCCATGATAGATAATCAAAACATAAAGAAATTGCCAGTTTTTATGAATTCCATAGATAAATTGGCTAAGGGATTGAGGCAATCTTTGGATGTATAAACAGGGGAAAATGTAGCCACATCTGGGAAGTTATTTATTTTTCTGATACCAGTGCAACTTCTCCAAAAACACCATTTCTCATTTCTGGCATAATATTTAATGAAATACTAGCAGGGGTTCAAAAGGGAGTCCCAGGGATAATTAAAGAACTGGCTAACACGATTTCTAGTGAAATTCTAAGAGGTCAATAATTTTTGTTTATCAGAGAGGCTGTTACAGAATATTTAGTCCCAGTTTGCACATATATAAGTTAAAAAAAAAAAAAACGAATATGGACTCTTTGAGGAAACACAACACAAAACATGAGCTGGCAGCTATCAGATAACTTCAGAGCATATATAAGAGATGAATGACTGGCTGTGAGAGTAATTAACCAAGGCAACATCTAAAAATAATTGTTCTTACTTTGTCAAGCATCAGGAAAGCCTGTTTTTGAGAGGGATAAACGTCTTGGATGTATCTGCGCAACTTCTGAAGAACAGTGTCACCACAGAAAGTTTCATCTCCTCCTCTAACTGGACCTACTCTGTAATAGGGAGAAGACAGACTTCACTACTTTCATCTCTCACCCTCTCCCGCTCACTGTGTTCTTCTTAGAGCAGAAAGAATAAATCACCTCATTAAGACTCAAGGTTTGATAGGATAAAAAGAGTGTCCACTTAGAGAAAGCAATGCCAAAAGATGATTTAACTCAATTTAATCAAGGGTGATCATTCAGTGAATACATTTCTCTCATTTTCAATGAACAGGTATACCACAAGTTACACAGACTAACACAAAAAAAGGAACTGCCAACTTACTTATATTTTTTCCTCAGGGGAATTGTCTGTCTGTTTTCAAAGGCATTCCCAGGATCATGAACTTTTTCTAAAAACTGTTGCCAAGCAATTTTACCTGTGGCTTTCAATCCAAACCTGATTAAAAAAAAAGGAAAAAAAAAAGATTTGAGCTAATTTTTAATGGTTTTCTTTTAAAACACTGTATTTTCATAGAAGAGCTGTAAATTACAACATTGTAACTTCATTATAACATCAATGTGTGCAACATTCATAATTACAGCAAGCTTCCATAGCTTTTTTTTGTTACTAAATATGTAAACTGAGCCAACTTATTTTCTGAATTCCACATGTCTGGCTGGGGAAGAACTAGACCCTAAGCGAGAATTCATCTAACTAAGGGTATGCATCTGCACCTGAGTGAATCCCTCTAAGTTCCCTTTATAGTCACTGGGGAGAAACAGGAACTTTCAGGGCAGGAATCATCTCACCTAAAGTAGACATCTAAAACTGCTTAGATGAATCCTGCCTATTGTTTCTCTCCAGTGACTATAAAATAGGGTCTAGAAGGAGCAATTCAAATGTAGATGTTCACGTTACAGATGTCTACAGTAAGATTGTATTTAATGAATCCTTTCTTCTTATTAACACGTAACAGTAGAGAAACTAATTGGGGCAAATCCTGTGATTTTTTTTAAAAAATCTTATGATTCTGGTTCTATCTATTCTATTGAATTTTCTGAAAGCCCCAGAAACATTACATGCTGTTAAAAAACTGGGGAGGTAAACGGGGGAAGTGAGTATTACATAGCATGAGCAATTACTTTAAAAACAATAAAGACCTGATGCAATGACCCCCTCTTATCCCTAATCATTGTCTTATCTCCTATTCAGTTTCAATGGCACAGCAATACGGCCTCAGTGAGCGTGGCAAAATGTGCCCTGCTTCAGATGGTAATCTCCCATATTGTCAGAAATGCACTGACTTGCTACTCTAGTCATCCCTGAAATGCTTTTCAAACTCCTAATGCTCCTTAAAATGGTGGCAGATGGTGTTTACAGCATTTGCTAATCCCAGATACATAGGACAAATGTAAAAAATTAGCAAATGCAGTCAGAGGTATGTAAGACTTCCTGGATCTTTTGCAAAAAAAGCCTGCCATCTTTGGACCTCACAAGCATTTCTCAAGCTCAGTCAGTAAGGCAAAACCCCAAAGATACAAGAATTCCCTCTTGGGCCAACCAAAACCTGAGAGCACTGAGTATTTTCTCCTAAGAAATGGAGCCTTTTTCCCATGGTCCTGCGTAGGAGTAGCATGCAAGGACCACAGTTGAGTAGCTCATGGGCAGAGCATCTTAGACTGCACAAGCAGCGCAGAGCACCAGAACGGCCTGGGAAGAGCCAAGCACCACGGGATCAAGGGAAAAGAAGGCAGAGACAGTGCTGGCATTTGCATTACACCAGCGGAGCCATTCCACTCCCTGCAGGAGGGGCTTTGCCAACAATACTATTGAGGGAAGGGTTATTTTAAAAAAAAAAGCTGTGGGAAGGAGAAATATTTTATATCTGATTATTGTCTTGGATGAGTGAGTATGAAACAAACAGTACGAAATAACAGATGATCTTTAAAATTAAGGCTCAGATAACAAGTGTTATTTTGAGCCCCCAGCTGAGATTCCTTCCCACTCAAATACCTATGGTCTACTAAATCACTTGAATCCTACTGCAGAGAGCAGCTCTGCACTGAAAATGAGCAAGCAGCCAAAGCTGCGTCAGTCAGAGTAAGAGATCTCTGCACTTCGGGGTCTACCTCCTTTCTCGGAAGCCTCACTGACCTCCATGCAGGTTTTGGCAAAGACAACTGCCAAAATGCTGAAGTGAACTTGGGCAGAAATGCGAATGCTGGTATGTGAAGGCCACTTGTTACTCTTTGTGGTGCCATCGGCCAGAAAAAAAAATAAAAGAAAAAAAAATGTGGGTGCTAATCTAGCATTTTGCTTACTATCATATGCCATATGCCATTGAAGTAATTAAAAAAAAAAAACACTGCATGGCTTTTTGGAAGGATACGTCTGCTCATGTGAAAAGGAGTAAATTTCCAAATGATTTGACTGATATCATAGTACTCATGGAAAAAAAAAATTCACTATCAATGCTTTAGTGTTACATAAATGATGGTACATAAACATGATGGTAACAAAAAAGATTTAAAACTACCTCTGCTGCTGACAACCGTCCTCAGTTTTTAGTCTGATACTACATTCACCAAAGTCCCAACCGAGAGAGCACCATGATGTTATACCCCAAATAAAGGCCACCAAATACAAGTCTGAGCAGCCACACAAGAGGAGGTCACAAAGAAAAGCCCTCCCCTAGGGACAGCCTTCATACTGGTCACGTGTGACCCGCTCCTTCAACCTACCCTCACATGCCCAAACCTGTGATAGGACACAACACTTAGCAGTGCTCCAAGCCCAAAGAGAGTATTTCCCATGTGGGAATGCTGCAGTGTTGTGTAATTCACTCCTTCACTTTATACAACTCTTTCGATAACCTCATGTCCATAGTGAGAGAATTTTCACGAATAGAAATGCTGGAATTCAGGGAATTTGGGACTCAGATGAGTGATGTCCTTTAAACGAAGTACACAACAGTGGTCTGTTCTAATGCATTTGATCTTGCTACGGCAGGGACATAGACTGAGAGATAAATGTTGGGGTAATCTGGTCCTAAACCAGTCAGGGATAAAATCCTAGCTGATGTCTAGGGCAAAACTGCATCAATTTCAATAGGCCTGGAATTTCGTAACAGAAGCCCATGAGATGTAAATATGTCAAACAACCATAAAATTCTGTCATGTATTATTTCTTATAAATAGCTCCCTGCCACATCTCATGCCATATTATTTAAATATAAAATTTAAAATCTTGCAATCGCATCCCTTGCCCGTCAATTATTATTATATTTATTATCAGCTACAATGACACCACATCATCATTAGAATGAGAGAACTTTTGCTGTTGCTCTATTCAGCTGGTGGATCTTTTGATTTATATTAGCTGAGAAATATCACCTAAGAAATACAGGCTTGCACATTTCTGTTTACAGCATCATTAAAATGTCACTATATTTTTCAAAAGTTAGAGAAAGCTCCAGTAGAAGAACACATACAAAAACCTTTTCACTATGCAACTGTTCTTAAGAGCAAGATTTACTTTAAGATTTAAACTATCAAGTGACATGAATTGAAAAAAAACTATAATAGCAATTTTTTGACAAAGTAATAGTTGATCATTGTTATATCACACTGTGAATGACTAGAGGCAAATCAGATTTATCTGCTGAATGCACAAAGCAATATGGTTACTGCAGATGATACTCTCATACAGCACCTGCTGCTGTAAAATATCTATCTGCAGTGAGGTCTTTAAAGCTAACTAGTGCATGTAAAAAAATCAACTGATAATTTTCATGGATGATTCTACACTTCAGACAATTTAAATATGTAAAAAATAAGTTGTGGAATCCTTAAATAGAAATATATGAGCTGGTTATCGCCTCCCTCCCGTTGTAGGATTTGGGTGCCTGGCCTATTGTTGTGAGCTGAAACAGCATTTTGGAGTAAAAATGCTGTCTAAGATTTAAGCTGTTTTTCTTCCTCTCTCTTCGACTGGCCATATGCCCTTAGCACAGTTGCCAACAAGTATATTCTGGTAGTTTTCTTCTCACAGTTTTTGGTTTCAGAGGATAAAAGACTAGTCTTGAAAAAGCCTGGTCTAGGTTTAACCTAAAGCCACAAAAACGTCCACTCCTATGATATTTTGGCTTTAGAAAGGAAATATGAGTCTATGAAGTTAGTCCGCTTAAGTTCAAATCATGTCCAGGAAACAAGATTTTGGAAAATGTCCTGCAACCTTAACTAAGGTCTGCTCAGATTCTTGGAGCCAGGCATGAAAATCTTTTCTATTAATTTGTCTTTTATATACTATATTGCTCAGAAGATGATCGGAGTTTTGGTTATAATACTGCAATCAGATGCCTGGTCAAGGTAAAATAGTATATTGATTTGAAGCTTGTAGATTACATGACAACATCAATCCTCACAGTTTGTTTTTATACAAACATTCACAACATCAACACCCTAATTCTTTGTCTCAATATAGTTTAAATACAAATTTCTAGGGATAAAATCACTTAACTGTGCAGCTCACAAGTATACTTTGGTTGTGCTTTTCAGTGACTATTACCCAGGCAGAGCAAACGCTTTCAGCTTTCATTTGTTCATTGGGTTAGGGTTAGATTAGGGTGAGGGTTAGGGTTAAGGTCTGAGTTAGAGGTTAGAGTTAGGGTTAGATAGGGTTAGGGTTAGGATTAGGGTTAAGGGTAGTGTTAAGGTTAGGGTCTGGGTTAGGGTTAGATAGGGTTAGGGTTAGAGTTAGATAGGGTTAGGGATAAGACTAGGGTTAGGGCTTGTTCATTGACTTTAGGTCTACTTCTTTCTGCCTTGCCACAGAAGCATCTTTAGAACAGCCATCCCTAGAGAGTTGGACTGTCTCTGAGCAAAAAGAGTGCAAAGACTAAAACTCTTCTTCTAGCTAACTCCCACCATGCCGTATCATTGCTCACTTGTTTGGAAGAGAACTCCCTTTAAGAGAATAAGTATGAACTTTGAACAAAATGAAAAAAACAGCAACTTGAACTCCATTAAAACTATATAACTTACTGCTCAAAATGTGGCTTTTTTACACATTTCTATCAGTTTTTACATATTGTGCTTTACACACTGCAACACAGGCACAAATGAGGTGAATTAATGACGGTAGTCACAAGAAGCAATAATAAAGTTATGAGACAGCAATGCTAAAAAATGTCCCCTAAGAAAATAATATGATTCTTACCTATTCATTAGTTCTTGAAAAGTTTCACTTGATAAAGGAAATATAAAGTCATTTATGACTGACTTCAAGCGATCCAACGACACAAATCCACTCTGACTGACATCAATTGCTCTGAAGGCTTTTTCAATGTCCTGATAGGCTGAACACAGCTGTAATGAATACAATTTATAGTATTTTGCTCGGAAAAATCAAGCTCATGAAGCTTTTAAAACAATAATGCATTTTTTACAAGACCTTTTCAAATGTTCTTCTCTGTGAATTGATCAAAAAGGTTAACCTGGCATGCTCTGACTGTCAAATGTTTAATTAACAAGCTCACTACCAAACAGTATTCCCAATCACAGACTCTCTAATGACAAGATAGACAAGTCTCTCAGATAATGACTCTACCTCAAAATTCAGAGCTGAAAGTACTTGGTGGACCAGCCCGCTTGATAAAATCTTTCTTAATATAACTTTAAAACCACCCATTGCATAACTGCATAGCAAAGTTCTCCTTATTAAAAGGAGTAGTTAGCACAAGGAATGTTGGAAAATGTTAGGAGAAATGGAATAGTTAACATAGCTGCCGTATAAACATATTACGCATTTCCTCAGTTGTTTTTTTAATTCACAGGCTGTTGCAAAGCAGCATTGTGGAAGTGCTTTTGCTTATGGGACTTGTAAAATGCCTGAAAGTTGACTTACTGCAGATTTTGATAAGGCTCATGAAACAATAGGAAGACTGGTTTGTTTTTCTGAAATGTCAGCTCACACTGGGTTGTTGAATACTGCAAGCATCCCTGAGGCTTTTCTTACCTTCCCCTCCCATTTTTTGACAAGCACCCCATCTGCTTCTGAGCTGATTACTGTTTATTCAAAACTGCAGAAATCACAGAGTAAACATAATGTATAGAGAGATTTTAGAAAGCCCAAAATAAACATCAAGGACTGGGAGGGTGAGCTGTGCTCTGCTTCCATTTCAGGTTTTAACTTCCCTATCAAACATCTAAAAAAGGAAAAAAGGGTCAAGATGTCAATGCCCCTGAAACCCTGTGTGTTCCTCCTTTCCTGTCTTTTCATGGCTAGGAAAGAACAGTTACAGGTCTGGGTATCTGAGTTTGTACTAAAATATGCAGTCCAGAAGCCTCAGCCTCTGCTTACTTAGAGAAGGAAGAATTTCATTACATTAAATGAATGCATGAATTAGTGTTGGAAAATTTGGTTTCATTTCACCTTCCCACAGAGCAGGTAGAATACAGGTAATGCAGCAACCACTGGGTTCTCCCATCATAGTCCCCAACTGTCCTTGGTAAGATCACATCTAAGGGCATGCAGACAGGTCGTTTGCCATGCCTCTTCCAGTTTCACTCTCTTCTCTAAGCTTGCCACCACATATAAAAAGATAATGTAGCAGCATTCGCCTACTAAGAATTTGTTTCATGTAGGTTGGAAAATAACTGTCAGACAATGATAACTAGTCATTACTTGGAGTTAGTCATTAATTATTTTGCTCTGACAGAGAGATCTAGTAATTCCCACTATGAAACACCTTAGCCATCAAGCTTCAGGGTTCTACCATTTTGCGTTAGCCTTAGGAATATGGAGTTTTAATGCCTTGAATCTAATAAAACAAGACTGGAAAGTGCAAAGTAAAACAGCACTGCTATTTCTGCTATCTGGCTTTAAAAGCAAACAAGACTTAGCATGAAATTTCTCCACGAGGTAAGCTGGTCTCCAAACATGGCAACTTCCTCTTCCCGTGATGCCTGCCTCAGCCTCTCCACCCAGCGAAGTATTTCAAGATACTAGGCGCACTCTCTTACCTTGTCTCTAAATGCCCTCTCAGTGCCGTCCAGACTGTACTCTGTTGCATCTCGTTCTGCTGATGATGGCTGTAGAAGTTTGTTCTGTTTCTGTTCTTTCTCTTTTATCTTCCGGCAGATTAGTGCTGTTAAGCAAAACTGGTTTTAGAAAAGTTGACATGAAACAGTCAGCTTCAAAAATAAAATTAAAATATCTATAACTTACAGGCTGTGGATAATAAACACATCTGCTAAGCTTTGAAAGGCTCTTTGCTTTTCCATTTTCTTCATATACACCTACTTCACTGTACTTTCTTAGCTCCCACCATACTTGGAAGAGCTTCTAGTCGGTATGACTCAAATATCCCTCCTCAGCAATTGCCCAGACACAAGAAGAAGATATTCTGTGGAATATCCCTTTCAGCGGGAATGAGCAGCTCATTCTGTGACACCGGTTTGTTGTATGGGCTCTATTCAATGTGCTGTTGGCAGGTACTGTCCTTGGGGTAAGGAGATTGCTGTGGAGGTGGTCTATTTGATCTGCAGCATAGCAGCAACCAGGACACTGGCCAAAACTGCACAAAGGAATGGCACAAAACCCTATCAAAGTTATTCCACTGGGGCTGCACAAGAAACAAAATGCCATTCACTGTGGGCAAGAATACCAGATTATGGCTACTCTGCCCTTAAGGCATGCTCCAGAAGAAGCCACATCTTCTTAGAAAACTTCTTCCTATTTAACTAAACCTATGTTTTTAATTATATTCATTATTTAATTTTTTAAACTTACACATTTGTGTGTCTGTGTGTGTGAATCTCAATTCCACCTAAAGCTTCCATATTCTGTTTAGTAATGTGTTTATTAAACAAGCATCACACAGCTTTGTACCTCAGAAATGTGCTGGAGAGGTTTTAGCTGTATGATTTTTAAACCACTGATTTAGCTGCATGGTTTTAAAACCTCTTTTTAAACTGGTGCTGCTCAGCAATTTTTTATAACTGCTTCACATGGACAAAGCTCCATGTCTCAAAATGCATGGGGTGACAGACTGGAAAGCAGAGGACAAGAGGTGAAACGAAGCTGAATTCAAGAAACTATGAGGTGCAGAGTAAGACAGGGCTGGAGCATCCCTTCTCAAGGCCAGATGGCCCAGAGGCCGTGGTAAGTGAGCCCATTGCTGTGAAAGTCCTGAATGTCGGAGGCATCTTATGGCAGGAGGAGCAGGGAGGTTGTGTCCCAGGCCCTGCTAATTAGCTGGGTTAACTCTGGGTTTTAATCAAGCACAATTCTAGGAACTGCAAAGGAGAAGGTGCTGAACATCGTAAAATTATTCCTCAAGAATGTCAGTAGCCCACACAAGCAAATGAACTCTGTTTTGGGCAGTTACATTGACTTTTACTGATTGTTTCTGCATGATCTTGGATGGTACTGCATAAGCTCACAGACCTCTATATAGACACATTGCAGTCCTTTAAAATGGTGAGCAGGTAAAGTAGCTTAAAAAAAAACTTCATGATTTTAGAACAGTTTGGCTTTCCCTAAGCCTGTTGAAGCCAATCTGAACAGGCAGCATTCAGGAGTTTTGAACATCAGGCCATCCATTTAAAGTGACTTCAAACCCAATTCTTGCTATCCAAGGAAAGGCTTTTTTGTCAGGAAATGGATAATCAAAATTCAGATTTCTGGACTGCTGGATTCTCTTTTATAGACCAGTATAGATTAGTTGATTCTGTTGCAATTTTCTTCATGAAGTGTTAAAGTTGGAGTAATAGAAAGAGAAATAGACAATTTTTGAAGCTAATAGGCTCAGATTTTAGCTTACGCTCTTTAGTCTGCAAAGTACAGGTAATTCTTTATTGGCTTAAATGCTGTTAAACTCATGCCTCTATAGGCCTGCACATTCACATTTTGTGTAAATCTGGCAGATTTTTTCTGTATAACATTTCAAACATAATCTTTTGCATCTGTGTACAGGGCTAAATTTCTTCATGGACTCCACTTATCCAGCAACTGAATTACTGAAGCACACTTGATATCATTGGAAAGACGAACCCCTCCCCAGATTTCCTGAAATTTTCAATTGTTTTCTGAACACATACCTGGAACTTGGTTTTCTGTACTCCTTTTCTTAACTGTATCTGTATTTAAGCCAAAAATCTTCAGAAAACAAATATAATCTACTACATTCGAATCTCTAACACAATAATGGTTCCACAGCCTGGAAAACAAGACATTTTTGAAGAACATTACTATCCTAGATCCTGTTGGTAGGGAAGTGCAGCAAAAATTTAGAAAAGTTATATTCAAAGGAATGTAAAAAATGAACTAGCAGTAAATGGCTTTTTTTTTTTCTATATTCCCATTGCATTCTTTTCTGGATTCCTTCCTCTGTCCAAGATTATGTCTGTAGGATATGAGCTGTCTGCATAATATCATTCAAATCCTAAATACGGTGCCATTTGGTTGGCCATCTACATGAACATGAATTTTAATAGATCTGCGCAGAGAAGTTTTTCTTTTTTATAATATAAGAATATTGCGATATTCTTAAACAAATTCCATGGGAACTTATGATAAACCATACCTAAACATTATAACAAGTTGTCTGGGTTTTACAATAGCCTGGAAATTTTGCAGCAGCTTCATTTGGATTAAATGTGAAGTTTGCAATTAGAACTCATTTCCACATGGTATTAATTTTCACAGCTTGGAAATTAATCTCTGGTTGCAAGTGCTTACTTTCTAGATATTTGCTCTAATCTGCAGTGAAGTTGATAATATTGTTGACAATTGCCATTGTCAGATTTTAGTGAATTGCTTGTAAAAATGGGCAATTGTCACCTACCGCAATAACGATTTGTTACAGAATTCAGGTCCGTTTTATAACAAGCTACCCAGGGCTACATCTGCAATCCCCTCCAGACAGCACTGCTGTGACTCATGTTTATAATTTATCTTTTAATCATGAAACCTAGAAAGATGTGATTTTTAAAATGAAAGTTAAAATACTGTTGTATAAAATGGATTCATGAGTCTAGAGCTAAAATGGCATTGTTAGAACATCTTGTATAAAACAGGCAAATAATTTTCCCCCAACTTCCTCTCTCTGAATTTACTCCTATAGTTTGTGCCTATATAAAATAAAACTTATGTTTGAACAAAGCATGCCTAACAAAAATGCATCTAGCTAGTCTTAAGTAATTTATCAGGCTAAATAACAGCTAAACTGGGCACTTTATTTGTTCATTCAAATTTTTCTAGCTAGTGAAGATATTACGTCAGATGACGTATTCACCTCTTAAACTCTTTTTTCAAAAGCTAAAGAGATCATCTGCTGCCATTAGATCTAAAGCATTCACAACTTCTCCAGAATTGTGACTATGGTCTTTTTCCACAATCTTCCAACATCCTGAGCACAACAGCACCTGATGTGAGGCTGTGTTCTGGTTTTGACTTTGCCAATATAGGAAAATACAAGTGCCTCCTAGCTCTGCTCAGTAGTTTTTCCATATGAGGACATTAACCCTTTCAGAGTCTCATAGTGTAGACTATGAGTGGAAGTTTAAACTTCTTACCACATCAGTAAGTCATCCAACAATTTCTTTAAATTTTTGACCAAAAATTAATTTTAAAAAATGATTTTTACTTCGGTAAGACTAATATTCAGAACAGTATTTATTGTTCTATTTCAGAAACCTATAACAACATTTCTGAAAACTTCACTGGCCCCTACTATAGCCGGTATGTGTTCCAGAATCTCTAAGTCTGCAATAGGCTGTTTAATATTCTTTTGAATGTTTTTATCGTATATTTTGACTACAAAAACAAAAAACTCAAGTTATATTCAAAGTGAGCTAATGGTGGGAGGACATGGCATTGCAGAAGTAGAGATGTTCACACAGGGTAACTCCAGCCTGCACGGCTGCCTCTCTAGTCAACCACCAGCAGCTCTTGAGATTGGTGGAGGAAATTCAGGTCACATAAATCAAAGTTCTGTCAAACTAGTGCAATGAATTAAGACTGCCCAGCTGAAGTGATTAGTGCTCCAAAATGTCTTCCCTTTCTAATGAACATTGTACCCCAGAGAAAAGATATCTGATCTGCTGCATTTTTTTTCAGCCTGGTCTATTTGTGGACAGCAAGTCATCTCAATGTGACCACCAAGCCTGCAAATCCTTATGTGTGTCACTTATTTTTCTCCGCTGAGGCCAACTTGAGCATTCCCATGCTTAATGAAAGCACATAGGTAAGTATTTGTGTGATCAGAACCTTTATTACATCTGATTTTCTGTATTTTGTTTTCAAAAGATTCCAGTACAGTCTCGGGGTCTCACTGTGAGATCAAGAATTAAATAACATTTAAGCCCTTTAGAACCCATTTATAATCCACTACTCACCTTACAATGGAATGCCAAATTCTGCTTGCCATTTATGGGACCATTTAGGCCACAAAGAGAAGAGAATCTGGTTAATCATTAGGCAAATTCCATTTGGGACAAGTAAGCACTGTTGTGCTGTAACATCCTGTTCCCCTCTCTGCACTTTGAGTTGTGTGACAAGCTGGGAAGGAATGACTAGTTGTCAAGATCACCATAATTCAATCACTTTTGTGAGGTACTGAAAAACAGCAATTCCCGATCGCAATATTCATCACTGCATTTAAGAAGCCATTGACATGGGTCTTGCCTCAGTTTCCCACCCATAAAACTGCAATGCAAATGCTGCCCGACCCACGGGGCTTTGTTGGTTATCACAGTAAACCATATCCCTTTGTTTTGATACATGTAAGCTGTGGATATATGTATAATTCATGGAGGAGTTCACTTCTCCCCAGCACTTCCTCCACATCCTATTTTACCCTCAAGCCTTTCTTTATGTCTTATCAAAGGGTGGGGATTATCTGTGAATTTATTTTCAAGGAAATTTTAAAGGGATGAAGATTATTTTAGCTGTCAGTTGTACAAATGGAAATAGAGAATGAATACATAGACAGTACTCTGACATCTGTGAAGTGTGATAGAAACACATATAATAAAATGCATAGATTCACTTCCAGTTTGAGCAAACTTTTCATGCATACATTCAAAATAAAAGGAATACTTTAAAAACATTTGTGTGATTGGATTATTTGAACATTGACAGTTCTATTTTACAAAAACGCCACGAGAAAGATCAGGTTAATAATATACCTCAGCATCAGGAATGACACTTTACCACATTTTAGGAGTATCTAGAATTCTCCCCTGTCTACAGTTCCATTTTTGATCTACTAAAATACCTCAACACACAACTAAAAAAACAGATATACACACAAATTACTGTGGCCTTAATACAGAACAGCAACATTCTTCCATCATTATCCTACATTAGTGACAGTTTTCAGCAACTGATGGAGTACTCCATTTTCTAGCACATGAAAAGCTGCTTCCCTTAGAAACTTTCTATTACTACTCCCAGGCAATTTCTGCTGTTCTGAACAAAATGGCTTATTATGGATCTGCATATATCAGGGCTGGAAAGTCAATCCCATTTGATAAAGAAATAGAAATACAGAACTAATTGCAAAAATTGTTCAAAATTGCATTTTGCCAGTACTTCTTTATACTCCAGCTTCTTACACAGGATATGAAATCCCCATGAATAGGCAATAACCATGTTTTGCACATCCTTACAGAAGGGATAGGATATGATTGGGATGCGCATGTAATATATGGAGATTGAATTGTTCTTTGCAGCAGTCACCAAAATTTGGTCTTTTTGTCATGATAAAAAGGAGTTTTGCTATTGCCCTCACCTGGGCATGTAAAGAGAAGAGAAATTATGTAGCATCATTCTTGAGTAACCTATGTTAATATGCCTTAAAATACAACCTATGTTAATATGCCTTAAAATACAAATTAGTGATTCTAACCATCACAATGATTAATTTGCTTTTCTGAATGTGTTGAACAGTGACATAATTCCCCGAAACTAGTTTTAAACACTGGCAGCAATCTCCTTTATCCTTCTCCATAAAAGGAAGGAGGAAAGTAAGCAGTACCACAGGCTGAATCAGACATGCCAAACCACTGTCCTCGTCTGCATTGCTCTTTGGAGATGCTGATCTTTTTCCACTTAGTAGAGAGGGTGCCTAGCCTTTGGATTACCTTGTCCTTCCTGCCATCAAATGACTTTCCTGTGTTTTCCTATGACTTCCCTCTTTATTTCTCTGTTTATATAATGTAAATTAATTCATATTGGTTCATATTGGTAGGTTGTCATATGAAAAAAAATACATCTAGTAACTTCTTATATTCAATACCTGCTCATGCGTGACCACTGTTTCCTCTGTACCCCCACGATAGAAGCACTGAATCGATCCCATTTGTCATCAAGGAAAATACATTCATCAAGGGACATTGGATCTGACTCTTTTGTGAAGTCCTGTTCTTGAATGAACATATTTTTTCTGAGCACATGGCCCAAGCCACATTTAATTTTAATCCTAGTTTTGCTCTGATAGGCTGAAGAACCCATTCCTATTCAGACAAAATACCCTTGAATCAGTGACATGAGTACAGCTGAACTGTCTAGACCATAATGGGAGATCTTTGCCCAGGTTTTCATTAAAAGCTAGAAGGCTATCTTGGTGCTGGAAAGATTATTACATGAAGGTTTACAAGGAAGATAATACTGTTCTATACATCTTAAAAGTTTGGTTTGCTTTTAATTTCAGTTTATATTTTCAAAGGATCACTCTTTTTTTTTTTCAATTAGGTATTTTCAAAAGGTTGAAACAATTCACATGTAATAAGTACAGAAATAGGTTCTGGTTTCCTAAGTGTCAAAATACACTAATTATATAAGTACATCTATTTATCATTTTACTACTTTCTATTTTTAATGCATAGAAATACCCTTTAATTGTTAAAATTCATAAACAAATGTATCCATTCTACTTTTCATGAATCCAGTCTATTGTTCAAGAAAAAGAAATCATTCTTTACACAAAGATTTGCTCTGAAATTGCTGCCAAAGAAAATAACTTTGAGTTATTTGCTGCAGAACTGCCACATGAGTACATTAGAGGTGCCTAGGGACAGCTTCATCTTGAGCATGTGACTTTTAAGAAAAACTTTTAAGTTCAATACTTAGAAATTGCTGCCATACCCCTTTTCTTTCCCTTGATTTTTAAATTATTTGCAGTTGTCACATACAGGGAGAAATCCAGTAGTTTTATTCCTACATTTGCAGCCATTTGTCTAACGATGAGCATTTGTAATTGCGTGTTTGCAATGAATTCAAGATATCACTGGGATTGTTAAGGAAATAGGTGTGCGTATATATGTGTGTGTGTGTTTATAAACAGACACACACATGTATGTGCATACTTATTTCCTATCTATCTATATATATACACGTATATAGGCATATGTGTGTGTATTTCATGGGAATTGTTTCTCACAAAACTGGCGAATGTCAGCACTGCAATGAAACCTGAATAATTATTAGGATTAAATGAGCAAGACTGTCCAACTGTGGAAGTCTAAATGCTCAAGACCTGTGAGAGACATTTTTCACATAATCATGCAAGTCTTTTGGATGGGAGGTCCATTTGCAAAGGGTTTGCCTCTTCCTAGCCAAGACTGGGTTTCAGAATTGTTAGACTTCTCTTAAGAATCGTGGGGTTAGTCCAAAGTCTATCCAAGTTAATTGGGAGACTTGACATTGTGTCCCAATGTCAAGTAATTGCAAAATAAAATTTGTTCATCCATGGGAAATGTTCACCAAGCTCTGTCTTGAATTAGAAACAGCTGCAGATTCCAGAAGTAGAAATAAGTTCAGGAGGCCATATTGTGAAGGGGCATCAGGAAGAAAAGTAGTAGCAGAACTTTGTCCAATTTCTTTTTGTTCTAGATCAATGCAGGAAAAAGTACTTTAAGTGAGTTATGTCACACTGCAATTCATATTCAGAAACCTGAAGGACAGCAGGGGCCCAGGCCTATCATGAGATCGATTTCATCTCAGAATTACAGCCACAAGCTCATATATTGAAGCAGTATTGTCCAGAGAAACGTGGTGTAGCAGCTAGGTGAGCAGCCAACAGTCTGGAATCTCCCTGGACCCAGAGCTTTGAAACATAGATCTTTCAGATTTAAAGAAACATCACCGGAAAACTCAAAATATAAAATATTCATTTTCTTCTAATTAAACTCATTTTTCTCATTGCTAGGTTCAGCATACTCCAATCTTCTGCTATAATACTTGCTTTGGTGTAAACAAATTCAGTACAAACAAAGGTGAGAGCTGAGTGGGAAAAAAGGGCATAGAAACATCCAAAAAGTCAAAAATGCCTGTTAGCATTTACTCGGCCTGCCTACTTACCATCTCACCCCAGTATGCTAAAAAAATCCTAAGAAGACTAGGCATTTTTCTTACACCTTGGTGTAGATTCTTGTCAGGGGATTTCCTGGATGATAATGCAGAGTATCTAAATATTCCATGTGAGAAACAGAAATCCGCCACAGTTTGCTTAGATTGTTTGCTGCTTGCTTTCGATTTTTCATGTTTCTCAGCCCTTGTCACACTTTCAGCAATACTGATTTTTGAAATGACTAAGTGAATCAATAAGCTTCCCAGCATGTGAAAAAGACAGTATAACAGTTGCACAATTTATGAGGAATTCAGAGAAAGGCAAAAATATACTTGAAAGATAGTGGAGGCCATTTAGATTGGAATTTCTCGGGTTGCCCATATCTCCTAAACCAACTATGATACAGACAAAATAAACCTGGTAAATATGACCTAAGGTTCTCACCTGGACAATATTATTTTAGGGCATGATGACTACAGGAAATACAGTTTTTGTACATTAAGAAAAGTGCAGACAGAAAAGCAGATCTGCCAGTACATTGCTCATTGTTTTATGTTGTCGTTGAGATGTAAATGGATCAGTGCAAAATTACTAGCACAGAAGTGAATTTGAACCATAATTTTAACTGCACTTTCAAAGGAAAAGCCTTTATTCCTTTGACTAGGGCATTAATATACTTCCTTAAATGTATTATTAGCAATAATGATCTTGCACTCTTATTTTGAGAGTAGAATACACTTTCAGTTACTTTATAGTCTATCCATAATATGAAACTCAGGTATAGCTTGAGTATACTTTAACACTCAGTTTTAACAGGGTTCTTCAAACAATCACAGTAGTATTTGTGATATTCCATCAGTAAGAAAAAAATATTAAATTTTATGTCTGTACTATCTCTGATATTCCTTGTTTCATACAGAGGTGTTTTGTTAAGCTTCAGAAGTTTTATCATATAAACATCATTTTAGAGCTTTAAAGTCCTCAAATAAAAATCTTTTTTATTATTTAGTACTTAGGAGACATAGTAACATTTTTATAGATTTACTACCCTTCAGACTGCAATGCCAAACACAAGGTTTATTGTCAAATAAAGTATCATTTTGGTTTTTTTGATTGCCTGTGTTGGACGAGTATTGCTTCTGTTCTGTAATTGCTCATACCAAATTATTTAATTGGGTTTGTTGAGATGTAATTCTGGATAGTATCCCATACAGAAAATATACACATAGTGAAATAGTGTAGCCAGACAATAAGAATGGCCTAGAATTATTTTGGAAGTTGCTTACAATGAAAAAACAATTCAGCCAAACAAAAAATCCCAACAAAAATCCTCAAGCAATAAAGTACCACCCCAAATTGCTTTATTTTCTTTAGGTCCCTACCCAGGAAACACTTTCTCTAATACTATTCCCTGCTGGATTTCAGAGAATTTATATCCATAGGAAGCCTTTCACAATTAAATGACAGTAGACTTTCTTGGGAAACAAGCTGTACAGTCAGGCTTGTGCTGGTTTAGGGAGGTTGGTAGCTGATCTCCCTGCATGTCATTGTCATCAATTCACAGAGGTTTTACCATGAAGGCACAGTCTCAGAGAAACCCATCGGCCACGATTTTTGGAAAATCTCCACATTACACTGTTTGGATGTTTACTCCCCTTCTCCGCCATGCTTGCTCTATGCTGTTTCCTGAATCCTCTAGAGCAATCAAAGCTCTGGCTGTAAAAACCCACTTCTCTGCTCTGAGAGCAGGCTCTCTGGCTCTGCTACGTGTTTCTGTCAGTAAAAGCCAGCAGGGCATTGGATCCATAGTGCCTGAAGCATCATATGGACTCCTAGCATTAATAATACTTAGGACTGAAGAAGCAGAGCAATCTGGTTTCCACATACTCTACAAACTTCACATCATCTTCTGAAGGAAGCAAGTCCTCCTATACAGCATCATGGACTTCAGTCCAAAAAGGCTAAAGGTATGTCTAAGTTTCGCATTGAATCAAGTGACAGGCTTGGATTATTGAGCCCCTGATTTTCTGGCATTACCTTCTTGGAGGTAGACTCTGAGCTTCCATTTCACTGTATTATTTTATGCAAAAATCATGCTATGGGGAAGGGAAGCAGAAGATCACAGTATCCTTCATGCAAGCGCTCCCTGTTCATAGCTTCAAGATGCACAGGATGTGAAGGAGTGCCACGCTACCCTTTTATCTCAAATAACAGCATTTTCTTACCATGGAGGTAAAAAAAAAAAAATTCAAAATACCTGCAGCAATTCAGCAAAAGCGTGAAGCACAGTGGATCAGAGTTGCTACCTTTTTCAAAGGCAAGATTTCACTATGCACCTGGTTATCAGGATCTTCTCTGCTGAGAGGCAATAGCTCTTGGTTTTCACCACGCACTGATCTCAGTAGGAGTGGGAAGCCTCTTCCCACACAAGACCCAACTGTTTCAAATCCCTTTGAAAGGCAGGAGGGGCTCTTGATCCAGAGATCAGGTCTGTGTCCTGCACACACGTGTTGTCTTCTTCACTTGGACCACTGGTCCTGCTGATCAGTATTTCAAGGAGTCCCAAATGTTCCACTACCTTTACCACCATCACTGCCCCACCGCCGAAAATCAAGCTGACTGAAGCTGGGTTAAATTCTGATGCAGGACTCATCCCTTCTGAAAGGAATTAATGTCACTTTTATTCTTACATACTCTTGCATTCATTTAGTTAAGAAAGGCTGAAAGCTACAACTTGAGTATTGCAGATAAACTGGCAAATTAACCTCCTGCAGGCACCCCCCAGCCAGTGTCATTCAGAAGACCACAAAGTCCCCATCATTCAGTAGTATTCTCCCACACTTTTACTTACTTTTCGAATTCTGAGTCCTTCATCCTAAAACAAGTGATCTCAAGAATATGCCGTAGTGTGTGCCTCTTTATCTGTCCTGAATGGTTGTAGTCAAAAAGTCTGCAGCTCTTGATAATGCTTTTCACATTCTTCGCAATCTACAAATTCAAAGGGATATCAATAAACAGGAAACTAATACTGACACAACTGACACAAACGCAAGTACCGTAAACCACTGCTAATATATAATATAAAATGCCATTTTATACCTCCTTCAATAATACAGAAAAACCTTTCCTGGCATGGTAGGAAATGTAACAATAACACTCCACAAAAAAAAATGAATATTTTGCATTTATTGAAGGCAATTTCATTTTTGAAGGGAACTGGTAAACTTGAAAACTCTTTTAGGCAAAGCAATGGATTTCAGATAAAATTCAAATATTAAACTAAAGATAAGGAATGTTCTTCCTTCAATGACTGAAACCTGGATATTATCTAGAAACCAGGTATCAGAGATCATGGCAGGGCCACATTTTGTAAGTATCTGTTTTTCAGAATATCAGTTAATTACTTTTTAATTACTTACTTAAAAACTGAAGCATTATTTTTTTCTTCATTAAAAAAAAAACAAAACCAAGGAGATGAGCAGGTTGATTGAGAAAGTATACAGGGGACAAATTAATGAATACATTAACATCTCAGCAATTATAGCTCCCTTCTCCAAGTCTGCTAAAAATCTCTCAACCTGGCCTTAAAGCAAATTTAAGGAGAGAAAACTGTCAAAAAATGTAATTTTGAAGAATTCCACGATTATTCTGTCTGTGCTGAATTTTCCCAGAAAGCCTTGTTTTAAAATACCACTCCTTGCAACTGCTGCTGCTGCAAATACAACCTGGGAATTGAACGTCAGGCTGTGTTCTTCCCAGCTCACATAATAGCAGCGCTAACAAGGTCGGTGCCACTGCTGCTTGCTCACTCATTGCAAAGCCACGATTAACTCCAGCTCAGTTGCATATGCTCTGCTGTGCTGCTGGGAGTAACGACGAGGAAGAGTCAGCGGAGGAAACCCTGGTCACAGGGAAGTCAGGACTTCAATGGGGTTAGCATTCCGCATCTGATTTGTTTTAGACAAAAGGTTGGA